AAGATGTAATAATAATAGGATAAATTAGAATTATTAAAATAAACTGGAATAGTAAAAAAGTATATCAATTAATTTATAAAACTAAGAAATAAAGTAAATTTAAAGAAAGAATATTCAGAAGAATATAAGATACAAATTTTCAAGAATGATCTTAAATCAAAAATTTGAAAATAAATAAATCTTAATACTAAAAATTTTATGAAAAGTATAATCAAAACTATAAAAAAGCTAATTCAAATTCTCTTAAATAAACTTATCATCAGACTTAAGCTCAGTTAACTGGTAAAGAAAATACTTTTATCAAGATTTTACAAGATTTAACTAGTAGATTGAATTATATAAAATCTGATAAAAGATATATATAAAATTATTTTGTTAATAATTATAAATAATATAAAATATAATATGAATAGTTTTAATTTATAACTTATAATTATTTTTATTATTCAAATCTGAAGTTATTTTACAGAACAGATAGGATTTATTTATAAAAAAAGAAATAAATATAAAATAGAAATAAAATATATATGAATTGAATAAAATTAATTAACTTAATTTATATTTCCAGAGAGCTACTAATTATAATCTAAAAAATAATAATAATTATAACATAATAAATTAAATATAAATAATATTAAATAAAGAATGAGTAAAAATAATAAGAAAATATTAATAATATATATAATTAAAATATTAATAATCTAAATTAATAATTGTATTATACATAATGATTATTTATGTGATAATATATTAATTTAATATATTAAATATATAATAATTATTTATATATTCAGAATGAAATTGATCTTCATAAAAAGTAATACAGAAGCTAATTTGTTATACAGATAGCACAAAATAAAGATCTAAATTAAAGAGAGATAATCCAATCAAATTATTACATATTTCTCTATTTAAAATATAATATTCTTATTATATTCAAGTATGTGATTTCTCAAAGATGTTAGTCTTTTTTATGATATTTTTTAAGTTTTCAAAAGATTTTCATGTTATATTATAAAGAGAATAACTGAGTCATTTAACAAGATATTGGAATTTATAATAATGAATTCTTTTATCAAGAATATTTTCAACTTCATATTCCTCTTCATTATCTGATATAATAATTGCTAGTGATGATTGGTATCTGTTATATTCATCATCTAGATTATATTTCTTTAGTAATGTTATATAAAATACTGGATGTAATTTCATATTTGCTGATAATTGCAGTTTATAAGCAACAGAAGATATTTTACTGGTGATTTCAAAGGATCCAATAAATTTTGGTGTGAGTTTTTTGGTTGTTCTTTATTTATCAACTGGAGTATTTATATTGCAAGTGGAGAGAAGGACTTTATCTCCTTCATGTCTTCTGTGCTGATTTACATATTTTGATTATCTTTCTTGTACTTTTAATAGCAAATCTTTAGCTATTTTTATCATGATATTCCAATGCGCCATGAAATCTTGTGAGACTATAATATTATTTTATTATGCCAGAATATTAATAGATATACAAGATGTCTGTCCATAATCTAATTCAAAGGATATATGATTGATCAATGTATTTTTACTATTATTATAGGCGAATTCTTTAATAGAGGCCTCTGTTTTTTGGAATAATGTTGTCTTAGTAACATTAAATTCGTCGATCTCACTACAAGCTTATTAGAGAACAATCTTTACTTTGCCTTTTTTGCTAAAATATTTGACCTTATTGATATTATGTTATTATTGTCGGCCAAAAACGTTCTTGAATACGTAATATAAATAGCCAGATTATTCCTTACGATTGATCTTAAAAAAGAACAGTACTAATTTAGAATTATTCTAAATCTTATCATTACTTCGTCCTATCAACTCCTTAAAAGTCTTAAATTATGATAGTCTTCATGTTAGCTCCCTTGATTAGTAATTATTGAGATTAATAATTGCTTCGAGTGACAATCACTTTACCAATAGTGTCTGTCACGAAGCGTTAACAATGTAATCTAGAATAAAATGCATATATAAGTACCTGTTTCTCTTTAAGAAATAAAGACGTGTTTGGAACAGTAAATTAAAGTTGAATACTTTTATTCCTTTGATTATATCCAGCACCTTCAAGCCTTGCAAACAAATGATTTATTACTTTGACCTAAAGTTGATCTTGCTTTTTGTTAGTAATAGTTTTGTTTTGACTTTGGATTCTTAATTGAACTTCACCTTCGAATATTGCGTTATTGTCTTTTGTTGGATCTTGTGTGAAATCCCGAACGTTTATAAGCACGACAAACGAAATCCCAAATGAACGGCATCCCGGGTGATCGAAATCCCGAACGCATGAAATCCCGAAAGTATAGCATTCCCAAATGCATGGAACACCAAATTATCACGATTTCGGGATTTTCGTGCATTCGGGATGTCGTTCATTCGGATTTCGATCTTTTTGGATTCCGTGCTTTCGGGATTTCGATATTTCGGAATGCCGTTCTTTCGGGATTTCGATCATTAAGGATACCGTTCTTTCGGAATTTCGTTGTCGGGCTTATGAACGCTCAGGAGATAGTCGTAAAGTGCAGCATACAGGCAACTCTGTTTTGTAATAAAATTTCAAATGTCAGCTATCGCTCCAATTCAAATGAAACAACCAAAAAATATTCGTTTCAAGGAGGTGAACATAAATTAATGACAATAAAAAAAGAATATATTAAGTGGTTACTTAAGTTGCTTAGACAGTACATGTACTTGCCAAATTTTGAGAGGATCTTATGTCTGGCATTTTATGATTTCTCTTACGGTTATGTGCATGAGCGAATTTAATTAATGTAAATTTCTAGATTTGCCTTTATTTACAATTGTGTGTGTAAATTTTAATGACCGAAAAAAACGAGCACGTATGTTTTACATAAATTAGATGGTCATTAATTTAATTGGATTACAATAGAAATTAAATGAGAAGTTAAATCGAATATTAGTTTAATGTTTATTAACATATAGCATTAATTTTATTTCCTTACATGCTATCATCTTTTAATATCCGTTGCATAAATAGAGTTTAGAAAAATACGAATAAATTTTGAGAAACACTTTATTCAATGAGTTTTAGATCCGTTCGTTTGCTGAATCCGATCATGTCTAACGGAATGATATGAAAATTAAATTTAAACGAAAAAATGCATTTATAATTTTTAAATAATGAATAAATCCATCTACTTTGCTCACCGATAACGAATCTCGCAATTGTTTTGTTTCATAAATGAGTCACTGTATAATGATTAAAGAGGATAGGATGAGTGAATTGATAACATTAGAACGGAGGATTGATCATAAAGTATCAGATTCAAAAGTAATTGAAATAAATAGATAATGTAATGCGATGAAAAAAATAATTCTCGGCTAAAAGTATGTTCTCTTCCTAATCGTTAACGTCATACTAATAACTACATGGCACAATTTGAATCTCACGGTTAATAAGATCACGTATGCATAAAAATCAATTAAATAATAAAAAATGATTTCTTCAAACAGAACTAATAACTAAAGATCAAGCTAAAAATATCAAAGAAACGCATTACACTACTTCGATTATGGTGGTGCATGATGCTGAAGTATCCTCAAAATAATACCTCCGTGATTTAAACCAGATAATTTTTACTATTTATTTTTAATTTGAATTTAAATAATTTAAATAATATTCGGGTCTTTTCAAAGGCCGATATTAATATATTTAAATGTTAATGATCATATTTTACGTGGATGGATTAGTAATGGGTATATACGGAATATATGAGTTGTGAGAGTATTATTGTAGTTTTCGATTCTGGTGCCGATATCCATACATGTCGTTGAAAAAAAATGAATGAGGTAAAAGGGTAAGTAATTTGGATTATACTTTTACACGATTTTCCTATTAATCCCGGCTCTAACTCTAAATTTTTGCTTCTTCTAAACAAAAGTTTAAACTTTAACAATCAAACGCGTTAACAAATTGTCTTATCCACAAAGCCGATTTTTCTGCATTGACGCCCTTTTCTGGATCAAAAGGTCCTCATTATAACAATACAACGTTATTTAACGGGGGAGCAAAAATTGTACGCGATTCTGAATAGAGTTTTATTGGTGATTTTTTTTAGATAATAGTCACTTCGAAAAAGGAAATTGTATGCAATTTTATCTTTTTATTTTACAACAAGAAGTTTTTTATACACTTTTTATTGTTTTAGATTTTAAGAGCTATTGCCCCGATTATTATGCAATCTATTGTCTGCTGTATAAAAAATACAATGGAAAAAAATAAATTTTGGAAGAGAATTATCCAAAAAATGATAAATAGAGCTTTGCATCAAATATAAAATATGGTTTGGATAGAATTTGAAATAGAAAAATTTAATGATAGAACCAAAGTAGATATAACGCGAATAGATGATTTTTATTCAAATCCGGTAACATCCAACCCGTTCAGAAGAGTGTGCTATCCCAAAATTTGTAGTAAAATTTTCTTCGACTTCTGAAACTTGTAATTTGAAAATATCATCGGACGTTAATGATAATCTCGTCACTTTTAAATAATGTATCATTAAACAATGACATGTACGTGTACATGTATATGAGAAATTAACATAAATATGATTGGTTAAAAATTGTACTGCATAAGTCTAAAAGTTTGTCACAAATGGACGAGAAATTCGTCTTATACTACAAGATGCATGTATTTAGTGTATACAGTCAAATCTCGATACTCCGTTATAACGTTGAAAGCACTTCGAGTAACATTCTTATCGTATAACAGTCGAACATATCGTTATATCTATATTGCATATAGTTCCTTTTTTTTGTTTCATGGTAATACATGCTAGTAAGCATATCGTAAGTAAAATAATGATATGTGAAATGACAAATTTATCAATTTATATAATTGCTTAGATTTCTCTTTTAATGCTTTATTTAAATATTGCGTAAAAATAAGATTTGAGAGAAATTCATATTACACCAAACTAAAACAATCGGTAATTAAATATTTAAAGGCTAGCGGTTGCACGATTGCCATAAGTGACGTCAAGTTTAAATTGATGTCCTTTGAGATAAGCTCTGATGGTGGCCACGTTATTTCCGTCAAAGACAATTTTTGAGTTACTGAATTTCAAGGGATAAATGAATATACAATATTTAGTTATGGAATGTTGATTTATGAAAAAATCCCACTATTGTAAACTTACGATAAGATTACATCATCAGTAATAACCTATTGAAATGATTTTATAAAAGAAGATAAATATGCATTGTCAAACGATAATAATTATTATATTGTGAATGACAAAAATTACCTCTCCAACTTCAAGATCTGTGAAAACTCCGACATAGATTACTGGAGTTACTTTGAATGCTGCTGTAGCACCAACATATACTTTTCTCTAATGATTTTTATTAGAAAAAGAATTTTTTCAAAAAAAAAATAAACAATAAACCAATCAGATATGAACTGAGTTTTAAAATTACTTTGATTGCTGATAATTTCCCTGACATTCCAATACCAAGTGAGGCAGTTGTCTTGGAATTGTTTCTTATGACAATAAGATTACTCGCGTTTGAAGAGCCGACTGATTTCTTATCGAATTGCGATATAGTGTCCTAAAGATAAACGTGTTAGATAAAAATTAAAAATTAGTCAAAATTTAAAATATAACTTACTTTGTCAATAAGAGACCAAGCAGTTCCAAGTTGAGTATCGAGGATTTGGCTAGCTTTATATCTCCCTTTTGCATCATCATCGTAATAGTCTGCGTTTACGACACAATAAGTTTCAGTAAATTTTACTCCAGCCGTGCCACTCTCGGGGACATCAGCTCTTAACCAAGCAACTGAATCAATTCCGGGAGTATTTGGGAACCTTTTCATTTTTAATAAAAAATAAAAATATTTTACAGTTTAAACAAACGAAATAATGAGAGTTTAAAACAGATTTAGTAAAAATCCATTAAATAAATGAATACGTTTGGTATACACCAAAAGTGAGCGTTTCGTCAGGGACCTCATTAATAAAATCAACGAAGTAGTCCATTTTTCTGATTTTTTGTAGGAAAGTTATATAAGATTCAGTTAAAAGGACTTGATTTTTGAAAAACTTTGCTAAGCGAGCATCAAGTCATTTTATACCTTCTGCAAAGAAGAATTTAAAACGCGATTAGATTACTGTGGCACGCGACTTTAATGTTTATTCATTAAAATTTTTGGAAACACAATAGTTGTTCCCACCGGAGCAAAAATTAAGGGGTTTATTAATATCTACATATTGGGGGATCTTTTTGCCGAAAAATCAAACGTTGACCTTTTTTATGTTTAATTAAAGGATGGCTTTAGCAAACAGGATTGATTTCACGGGATACCATTTTTAAAAACACGGAAAAAATTGTACACAAAATGCTTAAATCAACTTTTCCCTTAACGTCATAATCATAACTGCATAGTTACATCCGAGAGGAAATTTGTAACGATTCATTGCATAAACTGACCAGATTTCTACTAATCAAATACTTTATCATTTTATGTAAAAAATTTTTATTCGGATTTACATGTAATTTTGTAATTCTCATTTGCGTTAACGTTAATCTTTGATTTTTAAAATTATCATTATGATTTTTCTCTGTCTTCTTTATATATTAAGTCTTTGCCTAAATCTATGTTTGTTGAATTTTACCTCTTATTGAAAGTTGTATTGCTAATTTGTTGGTGCTTAAAACATTATATATATAGCTCTAAATGGTTAAATATACGCTATGAGTATACGAACTAATTTTCTTTTAATACTTCTGCGCATCTTTATTTACAATGTCCAAATGACTAATGTTTTTAGATAGTTCATAAATCAAAAAAATTTTAATTCTAAGCACGTATCATGTTTAACTAAAGTTTCATTTAATTGATAGATTATGCGCAAATTCTTATATAATATCTTAGTGCGTCAAAAAAAATATATTAAATTGAACACCTTTTTTTGACCAACTATTTAAGCAAATATTATATTTTATACTTCGCGGAAGATGTTAGCTATCTGCTCGAAATTATAATTTCTGATCTGATGGGAACTTCGTTCTTTTTCAGTCGCAAAATATGTTTTAGTTTTGAAATATGTCGAATCAGAAATATTTCTAACATATTGTTACAGAACTTCAAGTCAAATGAAATTAAAACATATTGAAGTCAAAACGGCCAAATCAACAAACAGGTGACAAAAAGTTGATGCGTTTTTTGATTTATGAATAAAATCTAGATTAATACGCTTCGTGTTAAGTCGGTAATTGGATTGAATTACATGTAGTTATCTTTGCCAAATGAAGATTTTACCGTTGTTACGACCGACACAACGTACATGTATGCTATACAAAAACTCCAAATAAAAAGCCATAAAAATTTAAAAAGAAGCAAATTCTCATTCATCCAGTAGAGATTGCGATTTTTATTCATGACAACAACAGATCACTCAGAATCTACGGCGATAAATTTCGCTTTACCACCTTTGCCAATTCCCCCCGACGACGCTGACGCAACTACGAAACTATATCCTAGAGATAAGCAAAGTAGAAAAACAGATGCATACAATAGGTTGAATGCATTAACGAAGCAAAAATCTTCTCAAGCTAAACTTTCGGATTTACGGGAAATACATGTGGCCGATTTGAATATCGTTCATCAAATTGTACGATCTCATACCGTTCGTTCTTTTTACAATGATAGTTCATCTAATAACTCACTTCGATTTTTTGTTATTATTCTAGTTATGGACTAATTTGGTTCTTGCTAAAGAAAATAAAACTTTCATCGATTTGGAATTTGATTTTACAAAAGATTTGGAAAAATGCGTATACAAAAACGGGCAAGCTAATTCTACTTCACCAAATTTACCCAAAGATTTTTCAAAAATTGTCCCTAAAAGAATCGGAACCTTATATGATTTATCAGCAATCAAAGGACTAAACAAAGGAACGTTTCCTAAATTACCGCCTGATTTAACATCCTTGGTGAAAGACGTGGTGGATGTTAACCTTCTTCAAAACCTGCAAAAACTACCACCTATACCGCATCCATGGATGTCAAAACTAGAAACAACCAACTTGATCTTAAAAAGCATTCCTGATGATTTGTTAGTTGACGTCAAAAAAATCGTTCCTGCTGCAGCTCAAGTAAATCAAGGGCTCACAATCAACGATGGATGGTTCACAGCAGGATTAAACTCTGTTGCGAAATTAAACTCACCAATCATAGGAGATTTTGTTTTTTGGAACCCTGCAATTGGCATTGCAGGATTTTTATTTTTTAAGGTAATATAATAAATATTAATTATTTAATGGCGGTTCTTAATGCTAGATATTACATAAAAACTTAATTATTATTTATAGAATGGTGATTGGGTTCCTGTCATTATAGATGATACTATACTAGTATATGATCAACCTACTAACTCAACAGATAAGCCTCGGACTGTCTTTGCGTACGTGCTTACGTGTATTTTTCAATTATATAAATTGATTCCATTCTCAAAAGTTTCTTTTATTTTAGTAAATGTGATAACCCAACAACCGATTTTTGGGTTCCTTTACTTGAGAAAGCATATGCTAAACTTCACGGTGATTACGAAAGTATCGAATGGGGTTTTGCGGCTCAAGGTTCTCTTTAATCATTTAAAAGCTTAACAAACCAGACTTATATTGCAATAAGTGATAATGTTAAATTTTTACGAATGAAGGTGTCGAAGACTTGGCTGGTGGATTCCCTTCATATTTCGATTCTGATCATGTTGACAAAGAATCATTTTGGAAAGATCAACTGAAACCAATTCAAATTGGATACGATTACGCGATTAAACGCCCACTTGATTCCTGGCAACAGAATACGGTTTTTGGACTTTTCCATTGGCGTAAAAATAACGTTCAATATAACAAAGAAAACCAGCTTGGAGAGAATGGATTATTTTACAATCATGTTTATATTTTATTGGGAGCTTACGATATTGGCGGAAAAAGACTTGTTAAAATTAAAAGTCCTTGGACTGGAGCGGAGTGGAAAGGTTTGTGTATATTGGTCATTTGTGGACTTTATATAAGCTGTCTATTGAAATATGGTTTCCCTCTTTTCAGGAAACTGGTCTGATTGGGATGATACGAAATGGAAAGCACATCCTCAGTTTGCGTTCGCGCTTGATTTCAAGCCATTTAATAAGGATGGCATATTTTTCACTGATTATGACACACTATTAAACCAATTTCAAACTATCGATAAATGTGAGATTTTATCTGATCAATGGTATTTGTCTTCGAAATGGATTGATTTTCCAATAAGTCCATCTAAAACACCTCCTCCAAGCTTCGTATTTGTGATCAAAGCTAAATCACAATCTTTGAATGACGATGTATCTGTAAAGATTGTCTTACAACAGCCAGATTCGCGTTATATTACTCCCGCGGTTATGTAAGTAAGAAAAGTATACAATTTCGTTAAGTTCTTCTTATTGTTTCTAACCGCGTAAATCGATTTATTCAGTACCAGTCTTAGTTTCGAAATTTACCCTGCAAGCGCACAAGTTTTATTAGATCGAGCGCCGAAGTATTATTCTACTGAGCTACGAAATGTCAGCTATGATGGCAAACTAAAGCCGGGCGTTTATCAGGTCATCCCTTACGTCACGATCTATCAAGGAAATCCCAACAATATCGCATCTATTCCTATTGGCCTCAGAATTTATAGTGAGACTACGATTAATGAAAATGAAAACGACAATAATTTTATTGAAGGAAATGCTTTACCCTATATCTCGAAATTATAATGAGATATTAAAAAGGGTTGTTTTTACATTGTTTGTATAAACTTATTCTGAAATTATATTTTTATTTTTTATTTTTATTTTTCAGAAAAATGATAAACGCCTTTCAAATGCTGACTGTTTAATATCACGTTTGCTTAGTTGTTGTTAACACGCATAGTTCAAAACAGAATTACGTATGTTGTTCATGCCTAGATTCCTAATTTGCCAAAGTAACACAGAAATTTTTTCAACTCGGCGGCGCATTAATCCATTCTAATACCAGATACCCTAACACGTAATATTTAGGGTGAAATATAAATTGCCAACGAAACAAGTTTTTATATTTGACAGTAAATAAATAAATAAATACCTATATATATATATATATATATACATACATACATACATACATACCGATACATACATATATATATATATAATATGTATGTATATATTTATTTATTTTAAATAATAAAACGGGCCGTGCCAAATTTTGATTTTCTCATTTAAGAAACTATAAATTAACTTCTTCCATCGAGTTCGACACATAAAATAAAGAATGGCACAACAAAAACGATTGTACTTAGAATTCGTTAATGAATTTACAGATAGAGATTTTACATTTGTTTTTACGCAGAATTTTGCATTTGCTTTTACGCCGAGTAATCATGACCCCGTAATGGCAAACAAAATAAAACCTGTGGCTTGGCATCAGGCAGTGATTAAATCTAAGAATAAAGCTTGGTTTGAGTTTAGAGGACAAAATGGGATCACCTTTGGTGAATATGTTAAGGATAGTTCCTCTCAAACAATCTACAAGCCAAGACAATTATTATCAACCGAAGATGGATTGACCTGGAACATTATCTCTAGAGAAGTGAGTTATAATAACGTAATGCTATCATTTTAATATATAGAAAAATATTTATTGTTGTATTTTTATTTATAAAGGACTATTTGACGCTATTTGACACAAACCCCACAACTGCGCCAATTGGACAAATTATTGTCAAAAATAATGCAAATGATAGCTATGTGGTAGGTCTTAGTCTTGACGGTGCACCAACTTCAGTCACCCATGATCCTGTGAAACACGGTGAACAAGTAGAATTTGGAACTTTGACATATATTGCTCACCTCGTATCTGGGCCAATATCAGATGGTCAGACACTTGATGAAAGTGCTGTAATTAATCAGGCTCCAATTACATTTACGGTATATATATATATATATTTATTTATTTATTTATATATATATGTTTAAATTCTGTTTTTTTCAGTTGTATTGGGCAAGTTAAAAATTTTCTAAATTTACAATCCATCTAATGATAAAGAACGAGAACGATTATAATCTTGCAGTTGTAACTGCAAGTCCTGGCCCTCCAACTGGATCAAACACTCCTGCAGTCCCAAAATTGACTGTAGATTATTACAAAATCGATGGAATAAAGTCCGGCTTCCTCAAATCTTCTAAGCTTTAAATTCCTATCGATCTTTATCTATTATTAGTCTATAATTTATAAATTTATCGAGTTACATATTGTTATTATCTAATCGATCGCAAGAAAGTACAAACTATTTATTGGCATGAATAAATATATTCTACCATCAGATTCGAGATTCGAATACATTACCGTGATTTTCTTATTTCATCCAAACATGAATTCAGCAACAAAGTTTTTATTTATAATGTTTTGATACTTTCATGACCGTTGAGCTAAAATTTTTACTTTGTAGAGAATAAAAAAAGTTTGTTTGGATACTCCAACCAATATTCCGTCATTTTTCGATACAATTTGATTTCCTCAATCTCCTCAGCATTTTCGTTTCGTTATGAACTGATTTCTATATTAGGTGAATATCTAGTAATCACATGAAATTATGTGTTCCACAATACATATAACGATAAAGATAATACATGTACATGTACTCGATATGTACATGTACTTGTAGTCATTTAATTAAATGAATGGACTGCAAATAGACAAAGGAACCGAATATATAATTAATAAGTATATTGACATTTTTAGAAATACATTAACTTTTAATATTAAAATTTCTAAAAAGATTTTCCATAATTAATTGTAAAAATTTTTGACGATCAATGCTTCTTTACTTCAAATGTAGGCCATCTTCCTTTCGTGGGACATTTAGGAAGTGGACGCCATACAATTTCAACTCGGCCGTCAACTGGATCTGCGAGTTTACTGAAAGCAGTTATCGTCAAGTCAACATTGTTCCCACCAACAGGACATCCGGCACATTTGTCGATAACTTTAACAGTCACGGTGACAACCTTTTTTTTATGATTTTTAATTTGAATACATTTATAGCACATTTCGAATCCAGACATTGACATGGCTGCAATCATATCAGTCGGCTTGGCGTTATATACCGGAAGTCCATTTCTTCCATAGCAAGCTGAATTCTTTAGATCATTACCTTCGTAATAGGTGATTTGTGCATTAACCCTTTTTGTGTGATTAAAATAGTTTCGTTCATCTATTAAGTTTGCCACAGACTTACGCCAACCGCCAGGGAGTGGCTCAGGAGAAGCAAATACTAAGGTAATCGCGATAAATGAAAAAGCTACGAAAAACAAGGAAAAGTTCTTCATTGTTTGGTAAAGATTAATTTCTCCTTCTTTTTTAAAAAGTGGTTTTATTCAGTCCAGAAAGGCGCGCTCAAAGAATAATTTATGAAGAAATGAAAAATGGGTGATAACTTCGACTCCAGCCGTTTTTGACGAGGAAGTTTTTACAGGAGAAAAATTTTGATGAATAGAAGATATTAATGAAGAGAGTGAATAATAAAGCGCTACCAATATGGATCTGTATATTATCTGTCAATTGTAGCGAAATGACAACTACCACAACAGCTTTACAAAATGTAAAAGATCGATTTATCAAAAAAAAGATTAATTTATAAGTTATTCGAGCGTTAAACTATCGAATCACACAAAGAAGTGAGTGTTGATTGTGTTTGTTGGCTGATAATATAATTTAGCATTCAAATGTATAACTTTTATTAGTGACACATTTCCCAACGTGTTTTTATCAATGTACATTTATTGTGGATATGCATCATGCGCATCTACAGTATAACACGTTGCGATAATGAAAAAATCAGCCGTAGGCAAGGTGTTTCGGAAAAAGAACCCAGCCTATACGTAAACCTCGTTGATTACTTCTTGAGAATCAGAGCAAACTAGTATTCGTTGAAATATAACCTAATTATTATACGATAATTTCTATTGAATCTAAAATTCTTTAACCATTTGACATACACTTTAAAAAGCAGAAGACAAGAAAATCTATACATCTACAACAACAAAACAATCCTTTATAGACTCTCTTAAATTCTTACTTAGGAATGCTAGGAAATTATTATCGTTATACATAAACACGCCGAAAAGTTGTACACAAACGATAAACATTAATATACATGTATGCGCATTTGCTGATTTGTGTAAAATGTAAGGAACAGAAAATTCCTTCAACAAACTAATACATATACATGTAATAATATATAATTTAATGAAAAAGCAAAGACTGCAGACTAAATTAATTAGATAAATTAAATTGACTGTTATCAATCACATTATATCTGTATTTCGAGAACATTTTTCTTGTAAAAGAAATTTCTGTTGTTGTGCCAATAAAATATCACAAATTCATTACGGAAAAACTTAATAACTACTCGTGCAAAAGCATTTATTTCGAGAACGTTTTTCATGTAAAAGAAATTTCTGTCGTTGCGCCAATAAAATATCACAAATTCATTACGGAAAAACTTAATACCTACTCGTGCAAAAGCATTTATTTTTACCGCTAAATACATGAAAGAAGAAGGTTTACTTTAAAATATGTACATTTTCGCATTAACTTCGAAATTTCTTTATCGGTTGTCATTGTTTTAATTATCAAACGAATAAAAAAGAACGTTAGGAAGAAAGATACTTTATAGTTTTGAAACCTTCTCATTTCGATCATTGTCATTGTCTTCCTTTGGAATTTCGAAACGTTCACCGGACTCTATTTCGAGCGAAAGCTTGCTAGTTACAATATCAAATTTAGCCGTGACGATATAGTGATTAGTTTCAGTATTCAAGTCCAAACGCTTCGACAAATGGCATATATCACTGCTGATTCCTTGACCAATAACTAAATCGTAAAAAATTCCGACATAATATTGATTGGGCAATTTAAAAGTTGTGCTATCATCTTTCTTGATTTTCTTATGCACAATCTAACGTATATATCATATAAAACACAGGTTAAGTTGCTTATTTTTAAGCTCACATACGAGAAAGTTAAGAAATTTCATACCGCTATTTTATTTGATTCTCCGATTGCTAAATTAGCTTCATGTAATGACTATTTAAAAACCATCACCTTAGCATTATTTCTCAAGCGATGCGTGAGATTCTTTTAAATGACAAAGTACTCGCCTTATTTACGATTGTAATTTCTTGTTTATTTGTTGAAATGACATTCTCCTTATTGTATTGCTGTACTCCTTTCTGATGAAGATTCGGCAATCAGTAATCAATTATCGATGCGTAATAATCAGAAATCACAAAAAATTTACTTTCTCAATCAATTCCCATATCTGGCCAATTTTTGCAAAAAGAATTTGACTTGATTTGTATAATCCAACCCCAGTCTCGTCATGGTAATCCACGACGGCGACATTGTATTCCCCACGATTAAATGTAACGACTGATTCAGCATCTGGGGGGACATCCGCTTGAAGCCATGCTATTATCTGAAATCCTGGGGGTAGATTTGGCAATTCTTGGTATATTGCAAAAGAAATTGTGCGGTCTGGTGCTTGATTTTTTAAACTTATAAAATACGTAGTGTTCGATGGTAATGTTGGTTTTGTTGATATGTCACTCATCTTTTTTATTACGAGAAATGTGCGCAGATTAGGTTAATATATACATGTAGAACATTGCTCGTATAACGATACATGCACTGCTAAAGTAGCTCATTTGCGTCACATTATTGCCATATGTAATAAGTAATTAATCAGGATCAGGATTACGTATTGTAAAATTTTTTGTTACAATGAGTAATGAAAACCTAAACAACAAGACTTATCAATTAAAATATAAAAGCGTAGTAACAGATAAAAAACTATTGGTTGTATTATATCAAGCATATCCTAGCATCCCGGGAACTGATAATGATGCGCTTGAGCCTGTAGCTTGGATTATAAACGAAGTTACTTACAAACAACCTGTTAGAGTTGAATATCAAGAGAATTATGATGTTGCCATCGTTAATTACTTTGATGAGGATGAAATCGGAGTGATTAAATCTTTCAAATTCTGCCAACAGAATTGGGACGTGGTTGGTTCCTAGTTTTCCATGTAGATTATCTCATACACTCATATTGTTAACAGTCATATCGAGATTTTATTATTGCTCGTCCCATCTAATAGGATCACGTCACCCAATACGACAAAAATAAAAATAAAGTTAACTAAGCCGAACCATTTAGTCATTACAGTAGATATTGGTTTTTTTACATTTAAACGTAATTTTTCAATATTTTTAATAACTTGAAAAATTAGAGAACTCGATATCCATGCAAGAGTCGGAATTGGGGTGTATAGCAAAATAAGTCTCTTACTCAAACCAAATTTCATTCAATGTCGTGATAATAAGTTGAAAGCGGGCAAGAGTCGAAAGAGAAGATTTTCGTGAAATCAAAGGACTTCCTGTCAATTCGAAAGTCGATTTTGAAGTCTCGCCACAATATTATTTGGGAATTTTCGAGGGAATTAAGGCAGGTCAATTTCTACTACGAAATTGATATCCAATACTGTTCAAGTAAACATTCCAAAAGATACCTTCAATGCTACTGCGATTATTGGGTCCTGGTAGATATGATATTTTAAACAATATTACAAGAGATGATATTTTATACAATATTACAATTAAATATCCTCCCTTTATAGTTTCGACCCTGTAGCTTTTATTCTACACATCAAAATGTAATTTGCCAATGTGTTGATGGAGAAGTTGTATGAGTGCAAATATATGAATTCGAAATATAAAATTCAAGATAATATTGATCAAAGAAATAGTGTAAAACCAGAAGCAAAATGAATGCTTACAATAATTGCAAAATCAACTTGCATCACGTCCATTGTTTAGATTTAAGAATTATGCTTTCAAGGAATTTATAAAGTATCACGTGTTAAGTCGTGGTTTTTCTTTCGCATAGAGCAGCACTAACAGATTACTGTCTGCTGTTTTTTTCAATAATCAAATTTTTATAAGGGCTACTTTATGGTCCCTAATATTGCCAATCTAAGTAAGGGCAATAAATTAGCTCCCTCGATTCAATTCTTACTGGATGGATTTTGAATGTTTGAACAGGAGTGGCGTTTATCCGAAAAGATTATACATCAATTTAATTTTCAAAAAAGTCTACCAGATGTGTACCCGTTTGCAAAGATAAAATTTTTCTAGTGTTATCCGCTCCTAAAAGACTCCACAAAAAATGTAGATTTGCGGTACGCGATAATTTGTCTTTATCCATTAATCCATTATCGTTATTCTCTCATTGATTGATTGATACATGTACATGCAGAATGCATCACGGAAGCTCCAAGTATTGTTTCCTGAAATTATTAACAAATTTGACTAATTTGCTTCATCCCGCCCCTCAAACAAATTCGAACACAAAAATTGAATTTTTTTGGAAACTTGTTCTTGAGGAGCAAAGTTTCTTTACTAAATTAATCCTCAATCATGGGTGGCAACGCCATAGCTTAACATTTATTCCATTTAGAGAAATACCCGTAAAATCCTGTTTTTTAGATTTGCAATTAGACAAATTAAAAACCTGTTTTTCACATACCGACTGCCATTACGTAAGTACGCGCTCTCTCACTAAAAGAAAGTTTATTTAGTTTAGCTTTAACCGTTATCCTTTTAAGGTTATAACTAGTTTTGTGTGAAACGGTCGTGCAATGAAATGATCATGGAACTTTATTTTGACAATCAAATCCGCAAGCAACTTTAAAACTTTGATCATAACAATTACCATAAAAATTATTTTTTTTTTTTGTAAAACAAACGTGCAAAATGTATTACCCACAATGACATTTCAATAAATGATCTGACAATCAAAAAAATTTGTAAAACAAACGGAAAAATGTATTAATTTTTTTACCCGTTATTCACACAATGACATTTCAATAAATGGTTTGGCAAATGTGCATCTAATTTTGATTGTTACCATAGAGAGGGATTCCCCTTTTTTCGTCAAACGTAATCGAAATCAGGATAAAAAAGAATTTGTTTATCACAATTAAAAATCCAGATTGAACCTGAAATAATCACACTCGGATTTCAAGCCGGATTATTGAAAATTCGAAATCGATCCAGAATGCACAAATGTCTACCACAGGAATCGAATATCGGCCCATGCTGATATTTCTTTGCGTAAGCGCGCTAAATTCAAAAATTTTTAAGAAAATCACAATCCGAATTTAATGTCTAGAATCAAACAATAATTCCATACATAGCATCACATCACAACTATCACTGGATTTCAATTTAATCTTTATTTTTAACGTGTGCCGTGTTGCAAATTTTTCTTTGATTGTTAATGAAATTTTGTGTCTTACATGTCTTGTGTAAAAATATTTGTAAGCTAAATGATGTAAATGATAAAGTGGCAATAACAAAAATAGCACACCAAAGGCGGTTAGTAATAAAACAGGAGTTCCAATAATCATTCTACTATGAGAAAATTCAACAAAGAAATCGATTACAACAGAAAGATTGTAAACTTTCAATTTGAGTTGTACATTGTGGCTTCCGATAAACTTGCCTGAATAAAACAGAATTTTATGTAAGGCGGGTGCTCTTTCAAAGAAGCAACAACCTTATCTCCTTAGGCACAAAAATCCCAGCTTGAACCCAACAAGTTTACGTTAATATTAAAACGGAAAATGCTGAAACAGGAAAGGTATACGGCTAAGGTTTTATATCTCAAAAAGCTTACGTTAAAATTTTTTTCAGAAATACCCGAAGCAAATACATGTATTAGGAATTTTCTTCCGCGATAACGCAAATACTAAATATGAATTCGTAAATTCTGAATACAGATACAGAATATTCAACCTAGAATTTTTCTGGAAGTGAAATATAATTGATTGGGATTTAAATTGTTCAGAGTAATTATTCAGGTTAAATTATTTTTACATAATTTGATAGTATAAATTCTATTGAACTATTTGTATATTTCAGTTATAAAAATTTTTTCTGTATCTCATCTTTTAATTTATCCACCTATATTCTAAATTCTAAATTGTCCTAAACTATTTAGCCTAATCACTAGTTCTTAGTGCAATCTTATGCAGCTTTATAGCTTCATTAGTTTTTATTATAGCTAAAAACAGATCAATTATTATAACATTTATCAGAAAGCACTATTTACAATAATTATATCCTAGTGTTAAGCATTAGATATTTTGATGATTTTAATTAATTATTAATTATTTATTATCTATCAATCCCTTTATAACAATATTATCAATGTTAAAAATAACAAATTGCTTCAATTTTCTTTTAATATTCATATAAAAAACTAAATTTCTCTATTAATTATAATATTAGAAAAATTAATATATATGTCAAGTTTATATTGATAGTATTATTAATATATATATAAAATTTAATTCATTTAAAAGTAAACTTTTAATTTTTTAAAGATGCTATTAAATTATATATAAGTGTATATAAAATTATTTAATAAAGAAAGAAAATTTAATGTTTTATATTTATTATTATGATAATAAAAAATTTTATTAAAATAAATTATCAAATAAAAGAATAAAAAAATAAGAATAAAGTAATAAATAATAAAGATAAAAAAATAAAAAAATATAAAGTAAAAAAAAGAAAACTTAAAGAAATAAATTTAGAAAAAAGAATTATTATAATAAAATAACAAAAATATTAGAGATATTTACTTAAAATTACAATATATAATTATTAAATCTTTTTTTAAAAATATAATCTTATAAATTTTTTAAAAATATAAAAAATAAATAATATTTTTTGATTAAATAATTGATATAAAAATAAATTAATTATAAAAATTTCTTTTATTTATTCTAATAAATTTATATTAAAATACTTTATAAAAATATAATTTAAAAAATTAATATTAATATTTATAATTTTGTATTATATAAGAATAAATTATATAAAATATCATATAAATATAATAAAAGTTAAAAAAATTAGTCTAAAAAATAAAAATACAAATTAAAATATAAATTTAAAAAATTAAAATTTAATAAATTTAAAATAATTATATTATAATATTTAATAATTTTAATTTATTTAAATAAATTATTATTAAACTTACTAAATTTATTAAATTATTAAATATTAAAATATTATATTTTAAAATTATTAAAATTATTAAGTTTAATTATTTAATTTTTTATTATTATATAAATTACAATATGAGATAATAAAATCAGAATTATTATTTTTACTATATTTATAAATATTTATTTAAATTATATAAAATTTTAAATATATATACTTAATAATTTAGTAAATAAATTTACTTAAAAGTATTAATTAATAGCTTATTTTAATAAAATTTTTTATAATTAATACTTTTTTATTAAAATTTTTTTAAAAAAATTATTATTTAATGAATATTTATTAAAATTATATAAAATTTTAAATACATATACTTAATAATTAATAAGCAAGATTAATTTATAAAATAATAATCAAATTTAAATATAATAATTTTTTTGTTTTTTATTATTAAAAATTTTAACTATAAAAATATAAATTATAAAAAATTTTAATAAGATGAGTATTCAAGTAGTTTTAGGTAGAATTATTTATTTTACTTACAAGTATATATATTTAAATTTTTATATTATTTAAATAAATATTTATAAATAAAATCAAGAATTATAATTTTTTTATTTTATATTATATATATATAAATCAAATTATAAATTATATTAATAGAATTATAATTAATTCTTAAACTAATTTAAAATATTTATATAATTAAATTACCAATAATTTTTTTAATAAATCTTAAATATAATATAAATTTTATAAAATTATAAATTATTACTTAAATTATATATTTTAGTAATAAATTTATTTGCTTGAAAAAATTATTTTTTATAAAAAAGATAATTTAAATTAACTAGAATAATTTTTAGAAATATAAATTATATAATAGCTTTATAATTATCTTATAATATTTACTATATAACTCAAAAAAAGTATATAAATTTGAGTTATATAAAATTTATTATATTTTAATTATAAAATATATATAATTTAGTTTTATATATTTTATATCATAATAAATAAAAATTACTATATAATATAAGTACTTATTTATAATAAAATTTTGAATTATTATAATAGTTAAATCAATTAAATAGTATTTTTATTTAAAGATTAATTTAAAATTTTTTTAATTAGTTTATTAAATAAATAAATAAATTTTTAAAAAAAATTATTTATTTATAAATTTATTTAATTAAAATTTTTTTATTTTTTTCTTATAAACTTTTTTAAATAAAGATATATATATATAATTTTTAATAAAAAAAATTATTATTATTAATTTTTTTTTATTAGAAAGTATAAAATAATTCTAATTATTTTTATAATAAAAAGATATATTATATATTATATCAAAGCTAGCTTAATATAATATTTTATAATTTATATTTAATTTTTTTATTTATTAATCAAATATATTATTAATATATTTCTTGTTTTTCTCTTTAAAAATTATTTTTAAAGAATAAAAATTTAGATTTTTATTAGAAGAATTATAAAAAAATTATAAAGTAATTAATATAGTATATTTAGAGATATATATAAGAAAAAGAGAGTATATGCTTATAAAAATCTTTATAATTATATAAAAATTATTCTTTATATTTAAGTAAGTAATTATTAAAATAAACTTAAATATTAAAGAATAAATATTAATAATTTTATAAAATATAATTTTTATATTTTAATAAAGCTATTATAAGTATAAAAGTAATACTTAAATACCTTTTAAATTACTAAAATAAATATTAATAAAAATAAAAAACTTTTTTAAAATATCAATATTTTAATTATAAAATATTCTTATAAATAATTATAAATTAATTTATTTAAAGTAATAATTAAATAAAATTATTAAATTTATTTAATAATAATTTATAAATTAATATTTATAAATAATTTAATAATGATAATTTTATAATAATTAAATTCAAAAAATTTTAATTTAATAAAATTAAAGAAAAATCTGAAGAAAAATTAATAAAAAATCTATTAAAATTTAAAATTTATAATAAAAATTCTGTAAATTGATAAATTTAATAGATTTTTTTTAAAGAAATCTATTATTTTAAAGAAAAATATTTCTATAAGTTTAATTAATTCAAATCTAAAAAGAACTTGAATTTTTTATTTAAAATGAAAATTATTTTTAAAAAAAATAATATATAATAAATAATTATATAATTAGATCAAGAAATTTATATATAATAAAGATGATATATTTAAAAATATTAAATATTATAAAACAAAAACTAATATAAGATATATTTTTCAAAATAAAAATAAAAAACTACTTATAAAAAATTTTTATATAAATGATAATATTAGTATTTATAAAGATAGAAAGATTTAAAAAAGTAAATAATAGATTTTTTTATTTATAAATTAGATTTTTTTATATTATTTTAATTTATAAACTATATAAATAATTATTTTTAAAGAATAAATACATATATATATATTAATATAAAATTTTTTTTTATAATCTGTTTAATATAAATTTTTTTTATTTATTTATTAATTATATATTAGACAAATTATAAATTAATATAAATATTATTTATTTATTATAAATATATTAACTAAAAATAAATTATATTAAAGTTTTATATAATTTGATATAAATAATTATATTTTAAAAAATATATTAATAATATATTTATATGTTGTTAAATTTTTTTATAAAATTATTATCTCTTCTATTTATTTATTATTTTAATAGTATTTTTAATATTTAATTAATTGATTAGTATTATATTTATAATATTAAATAAAAATTTTTAATTTATTATATATATTAAAAATTCTAAAAAAAATACTTTTTAAGAAATAAATCAATTAAATTACAAAATATAAAATAATTATAAGAGTAAAATATATTATATGTCAAGTTTAATTAATATTATCTATTAATTAAAATAAGACTAATTCTTATAAATAATTAGCTAGTTTAACTTTTCAACTTCAAATTAGCTCATTATTAAAAAATTCTAGAATCAGATAAAACTATCATATAATAGATAAATTTTATTATTTATTTCTTGAACATTAAATATATATTTGTCTTTATATTATAATTTAATTATATCTAACTTTAGTAATATATATATATATTATTATTAAAAAATATTAAATAACTATCACTAAATATAATGTTATTAATACTAATAAGAAAGAGCTTAATCACATATAAAAGTTAACTAACTTTAACTTAATATGAAAATTATATGGTCATATAGTTATCAAGAAAAAGCTTTAATTTAGTAATTATACTTACTTTATAGAATGAAGAACTGAGATTAGATCATCTCTGCCAATATAATGATAAGTATAAAACAAAATATTAAATTAATAATTTTTTTAATAGTAACTGATAGAATTTGTTTATATTTATCTATAATTATATAGAATTATTCAAGAAATAAAGTGACATTCAGCTTATTTATTGATGATATTATTACTGTAATAAAAAGAAACATATGGGTCAATACATATATAGCCTTTGTATTATCTGAAATTCCATCATTTCCGATATACAATTACCGTATAGCACTGCTTACAGTATCCCGGGTACTCTATGCGGAACCGGGTACTTTATTCGGATAGTATTATATTATAGATATTGTATAGTACCCGGGTCTTAATAATGGAGGGTACTATATTTTGGGGATACTGTAAGCAGTGCTATACGGTAACAAGTGAATCATTTGATGGAAATATGATAAAAATAAAATTATTATTAATTTTTATAGCAGATTTATAGTTTCATTATTTCCAGAAAAATTCCCTCAACTTGAAGCTAGATCTAGCTTCAAAAACAAATCATAGAAGTTGAAAAATCCAAAAACAGGTGTCAAAATCTAATCAGGAAGTTAAATAATTTAATCACCATCTTAACCCTAACCCTAACCTTAAATCTTAAATCAAACTTTAACATCAAATAGAATTTTCCAGATGAGACTTAATATAATGATAACTGTGCATGAGGTCATAGCTTAATTATGATTCATCATGGTATACTGAAATTCATTATATAAAAGGTATTTGATATACAGTATTCAGTAGACTGGACACCTTGATATATTGAAGCCAAGTCAACAGCCCTGAGTTCCGTTAGTTCGAGGTTCAACTGTATTGTATATTTGATTCTGGGAAATTCTCTGTTAAACAATGCGCTACATTTTTCTTTACTAATTAAATCATTGTCATATAAATTACTTAAATTACAGAAGTTTGCTCCTCATTAGCTTAATAGTGATAGTGATTTTTTTCGAACTTCTACTATGACTTAATTAGAAAATAATATGTACTAATTATAAATCATATGGATGATAATGAGTGTAGGCAATTGGGCCACTGGTCTTTTATAAGTTCTGCTATTTGACTATTGTACTCAACAACACAGTTTTTATAAGGCAACTGCCAACATTCGTCACATCTCAATATTTGCTGTTATTCAATAATAAAGGAGTTGTTTTTAGATTTATGCACGAGGTTATATTTTATCTTTTTGACACAACCTGTGGAATGCTGAAATTGTTGAGTTGAATAAAATTAGTCGAAAATTGATTCGTAAAGCACTTTGACGCGCGTCTCTAACTCGTTAAATCATTTTATGACCTTTAGCATAATTAAGGAATATCATAGTTTGTAGTGCAATTTTTATTTAATTTATTGAAATCGAAATCGTATCATGCGAACATTCCACACCTCAGTTCATTTTTTAATTATAAAATTTATTTGTAAATCTAGTTCAGATTTTACTATTTAACAAATATGATAGAAAAAATTCGTCATAGATTATAAGCTTGAAGATGCGCGATTGCTATAAGTCACGTCAAGGTTGAACACGTGTCCTGTAAGGTATGCTCGAATTGTTGCGACATTATCCCCGTCGAACACAATTTTTGTATTGCTATTAAATTAAAAAACTCGTTACGCTTCAGTTCACAAAAGAAAATATACAGGAATGAAATAAAAATTACTTACGCAAGAATGACGTCATCGGTGATAATCTGGTGATTAAAAACAAGAAAGTTAAGCGTGCAAATAATAGCAACAACATTAAAGTTACAAAAATCTAAGCGTGCTTACTTCGCCGATTTCAAGATCAGTGAAAACACCAACATAAAAGGTTGGAGTAACTTTGAAAGCTGCGACGGAATCAACATATACTTTTCTCTATAAATGAATGCACGAATTTTATTTAGAAATTACAACAATAAGCTCGATAATGTAATATGATAATATCTACCTTGATAGCAGATAGCTTTCCGGACAAACCAATTCCCAAAGAGGCGGTGGTTTTTGAAGAGTTCCTAATAACAATTAAATTATCAGCGTTCGAAGAACTAACCCGTTTGTCGAATTGTGCGACCCCATCCTATAAAACATATGATATTCAATAACACCATGAAGTGAATTTTGATATGGACGTAACGAAATATAATTAAAAATTTTTACCTTCTCGATTAATTCCCAAGCTGTTCCAAGTTTAGTATCGAAAGTTTGGCTAGCCTTGTATCTCCCTTTTTCATTATCGTCGAAATAGTCTGCGTTTACGACACAATAAGTTTCGTTAAATTTTACACCAGCTATGCCCTTTTCGGGGACATCAGCTCTCAACCAAGCGACAGAGTCGATACCGGGTGTATTTGGGAATCTTTTATTTTAAATAAGTTTTCAATATAAACGTAGATAAAGGAAACTTATCGATGAAAAAAATAATAAATTATTATGTACGTTTGATAAACACCAAAAGTTAAAGTATCATCTGGAACCTCGTTAATAAAGTCGATAAAGTAAGTAGTCATTTTGATAATTTATTTTTGTATTTAATGTTAACAAGCAGAAATTCAATACTAGAAAACGGAAAAAACCCAATTTATACTTTTTCATCTAGTCGAAATTTTGAGTTCTGTTCCATTGAGAACAATATTATTTGTTCTACTTGAGGATAATATACTACTTGCGTAATATATGTAATACAATTCATGATCAAATGAGCCCTCGGAACATGCATAGTTGTTAATTTTAACAAAAAAAAGTTCCGTAAAATGTATTCACTCACACGAAGGTAAATCCATAACCTTTTTTTGCCATGCTGTGCTGTTTCGTTTCTATAGAATTTAGTGAATTGTTAATTGATTAACAGATTTAATTCTATTATTTCGATGATCAGATAATGATGTGACATTTGGACTTGATTAATTCTATAGTCAAACATAAATTGTCGAATAGAATTTGAAACCCCTTTTAATATATTACTAATCTTTAGATGGCTCCGGATAAACCTAACTAACAAAATTCCAAACCAAACAATATCCGGACGCGAAATTTCAATCACGACGGTTCAAAAATCCCCGACATTTATTGCGATAAATTTATCCATTTTACAAAGGTGCATAACTTTGCTACAATAGCGACAGTTCATAATTCACGTAACGATAGCGATAATACGTGCCAAAAAGATGACTGTTGCATTAATTGAAATCACTTAGACCAGAATTATGACACAATAAAGGCTGGGATCAGCACAATTGAAACCAGATTGAATCTGAAAATACTGTAATTACATAAACCGGATCGAGTGTGCTAAACGCTAAATTCAAAAAAATTTTGTTACAATCACAATCCGAATTTAATGCCCATCACGACCATCACAATTCTGATCTGAATTCTAATTTGATTTTAACGCGCGTGCCGTGTACAAAATTATCTTTTGATTGTTAAATGAAACCTTGGCGCCTTCTTGTGGAATTAAAATTGCATGTTTATGTGACGAAAAATTAGCACTCCAAAGACGGCTAGCAATAAAACAGGAGTTTCAATAATCATTCTACTATGAGAAAAATTCAAGAAAGATACAACGGAAGATTGTAAACTTTCAAACTTGAATTGTACATTTTTGGCTTCCAATAAACTTGGCTGAATAAAATAGAATTTTATGGAATGCGGGTGCTTAGCTAAGCTCTGCTAAAAGATTTAGGATAACCATCAATAATAAGTTCAATTAATTGACACATGCTTTCAAAGAAGCATCAAAGAAACCTTTATTCCCGCTTATCTCCTTAGGCACAAAAAATTCCATGAATCTCGCAATAATAATGGTGTGTTTATTTGTAATATTGATCAGAATCTACATGCATTGTGTATAAAGTTTATTTGGATATTTTTATCGTAATGAACCAATTTACACATAGAAAAGTTCCACGACAACTCTTCTAACGCATTGAGTCTTAAAAAACTTCTAAAAAACGTAAGAGATTAGGATTTGAGTGAGTCTCATTAAATGACAGAATTAAACAATAAAAATTTTTATAAGTTCTCATAATAAAAATTCTCACAACAAATGCATTCGTACTTTTCCAATTTTACGAATAGTTTTAGCGTTAGAGATTTTTCTATCTATTCATGTTAAGAAATTATACATGATGAATTGCATTTAATAATACATGATCATCTGATTTTCCTTCGAATTGTTACGCAAAAAATATCCATAATAAAAGCTATATAATGACAGCATCAATAATTAAATGACATTGACATTGCATTGTTATATTGAAATTCTCGAATTCAAACCTCAAAATGGATAGTTTTCAGCAATATTATATTGACTTCGCTAGTGAAGTACCAAACGAAATTTTAACATTCGGTGTATACCAAACGTGTAATATCTATATTTGTTACTTGTAATATTTTAAATTGGCAGGTGTTAATCAATAGTCACTTTAGATTCCCAGACTCACCTGGCATTGATTCAATCGCTTGGTTACGAGCCGATGTACCAGAAAATGGATTTGCCGGTGTTTCGTTTAACAACACTTACAATGTTGTTAATGCTGATTATTCTAACCCAAATGCGAGAGGCAGATATATTTCGAAGCAAATTTTTGATACAAAACTTGGGACTGCGTGGCAACTAGTTGAGAAGGTTTGTTTCTTCGCACTCTATCTATCAAAGACCGCAAAATGAACGAACTTCTATCGTCAAATAGAATGGCGTCGCACAATTTAGCAAAAACGTCGGAGATTCGGCCGGAGATAATATGATCACCATAAAAAATGCTTCGAGGAGTATCGCTTCTTTGGGTGTAGGAATGGCCGGACGATTATCTGCCATCAAAGTATTCATTATTATATTCTTTGTGAATATGACTTTTCATTTCGGCAATTGACAATTCTGGTTTCATAAATCCAGAAACGAGTATATGTTGGGGCTACAGCTGCGTTCAAAATTATACCACAATATTATGTTGGGATTTTTGCGGATTTAGAAGTTGGAACGGTATAATGAAAAATTCATTTTAATGAAATAAATTTTATTAATTATTTTTGGATTTATCTATTAATTTTAATAAATCTTAACATAGATGATTACGGATGACGTAATAATTGCGTAAGTTAATTTATTCTAGTTCTCATAATACTATCGCCGATTATTCATATCTTTTTTCCTTTAAAAAGAAATAAGCTGATTGATTTCAACGGGGTCAATGCTGTAAAAGTCAGAGCATATATTGAAGGTTCTCAAATCAAGATCGATACCACTTATTCTGTCCGTCATAATTCTGCCATATGATATCTCTTATTCTAATTAGAAATATATTGACAGTAATATGTATTTAGTTTTTTATTGAGAGAAACTAAATAAGCATCGATTTTAATCTTTCATTTAAAGCAACGAAAACATTTTTATTTAAAATGCACTGAATATATTGTATCAAAATTTATAACATGATGGATTAGATTTCATGATAGTATCATCATTGCATGATGATTTGAGAATGAAATGGGTATCCGACCATTACACTGTTTCTATTTTGCTTAACTCGGTTCTCGTTACATGCTCCAACGGGATTTCCAGATTTAGATAAATACATGTACATGTAACAAATTATTAAGGGACAGCAAGTGTACCCCCTTAAAAGATTCAACCTTATTTTAATGAATTCGAATCAAAGAACAAGAAACTAATCCCAGGAACAACGATGATAAAGTAGAATACAGAATACGATATATAAAAGGAGAAGTAATTGGCAGTTCTACCAAACGATTTCTTCGTCAATTAATACAAATATGGCTGATCATACATTTTACGTTGACTTTTACAATGATATTCCTTCAACATATGTTGAAGATGGTGCACTTCTGACGTTTGGCTTATACATGAAGTAATTATAAGCATCTCATGACGAGGTAATTTTTTTTGATTAAGTCACTAAAACTTTTTAATAACTATCAAAGATATCCAAAGGCTCCGGGTCTGAATAATATCGCCTGGCTTAAAGCTGACGTTCCGGAAAAAGGAATGGCAGGAGTCTCATTTAAAAAAGAATACTCCGTAATTTCGGCCTATTATAATGACGAAGACCAGATAGGCGTTTACAATTCCCGTCAAATATTTAAGACTGAGCTTGGTAAAGAATGGACGCTCACGAAATATGTAACTATCTTTTGTTTTCTGTGAACGATTCTTTCAACTTTGTTTTATCTAAAAATAGTTTTCATTGCTTAGCGTAAGATCGCGCAATTCGAAAAAACAACCACTTACTCTGGTAATCCGAATGTTATATCAATTGTAAATATATTCAATTGAATGATTGAAATTCAATGAATTTATGTCTAGATATACAAAATTACCTTGAATTCTAATTTTTTTTTCAAATTAGCAAAACAAGTCTGGCAATTTAGCGCATCTTGGAATCGGAATCGATGGTCGATTAGCCTGTGTAAAACCTGTTTATGACGGAGCAAAAACTGCATTTAAAGTCAATGAAACTTATTTTGTTGGAGTTTTTAATGAACTAGTCGAAGGCCAAGTGATAACTGGTGATATTATAATGTATGCAATTTTCTTTCTAACAGAAGTTGTTGATTTATTTGGAATATAAATATATGCATTAAATATCTGCTTTCTTGAAAAAAACAGGGCTTCAGATACAATTAATTTTGGATCTGAGTATAATTGTGCGAAAGTTGTTGCAACACTTAACGGTGAAACTTTTAAGCTATCAATCACCTATACGAACAAGCTGCCTTCAAGCCTTTAATGTCGTGAATATTAAAATATTGTTTCTATAAAATCTTTTCTCAAATATCTTCTTTATTAATGTGTAGAATGCAAATTGAGAATAAAGTTACATGTACAATTTTGATTAAGCATTTTTGTCATTGCACCAAATCGTTAGTTGAAAGTCATTTTGTGTTTAAAAGTATTGGTAATACATGCACATGTACCGTTGACATTGTATGAATGTTCCCGCTTGGAACACCAAAATCCATATCTGATTGTTTCCATTCTCACTAAAAACGTGTGGCTGGTGATTCCGATATTTATAAACAAGAAGTACGATCAAAAATCTAAATAACGAGTGATAATTGATTTTTTTAATAATTATCTTTGACAGAATTTAAAATGAGATATTACATTGACTTTAAGAATGAACTGCCCGACACTTTGGTAATAAAAAGTTTATATACGTAATATGCTGTTATCATTTATTTGCCAGGTTTTAAGTTTGATAAATATTTTAAATTTTAGATCACTTTTGCAGTATTTCAGGTAATTCAAATAATACGAATAGGATAAAGAATGTACTGCGTTAAAATTTTTGCATTCATAATCAAAGGAAAAACCGACTCCGAGACGTCTTGTCTGGCTTCAAGCCGATGTGCCAGAAAACGGCACCGCTTCTATTGCCTTTGAAGAAGTATACGACGTAGTAGCTATCAATTATGATGACCCAGAAGGTTCCGGTGTATATCAGTCACAGCAAAAACGTCGGACGAAACCAGGAGCTACGTGGGAGTCAAAAATTAAAGTACTCGTCTTTTATCATATGGAATTGCTCCTTTCTATCGTATTGGAGAGAATTAATGGATTATTTACTATTTTAAATCAAAAGGATAATATCCAACAATTATTTTTAACTTCGAAAGAAGCGCCAGATGGACAAATTCATATAATTAATAATACTGGTTTAAAATCAGATTTTGGACTTGCAATGTCTGGAAGTGTAAGTAGATACTAAATTTCCGTAAATCACATAACAAACACCCATTGTTAATATTTTATTGCACATATATGCTACATGATAGATTATCCAACATAGAAATGGCGTTCCTCCTGGCGAAGTAGCGAAATTTGATTTAAAGTTAGAAGCCACTCTTGGGGTTCTTTCGAATCGCAATGCCGGTCAAATAATCACTTTCGATATCGTAGAGTAAGCGAATCTAGTCATAATTCTAAAGGATTAAATAATATATTATCATTTTAATTTGTCTATTTTATTCTATTTCAAAGAAAAACACGCATCCTCAACTTTACCGATAATCATAATCTCGCAATCGTAACCGTCAGAGAAATATCTAAACTAGAAGGTGAAATTGAAACTGAAACTGCTACGGAAAACTATAGCATTGACATTAAATACGCTTCTCGTCATGGAATACCATCCATTGACCGCAATAGCAATAGTAGATTATAAATAGCATCTCATTGAAATTTTGTTTTACCGTTATGACATTTATATAAAACCCGTAATCTAAACTACTAGATGAAACTTTCTAATCCGAATGCAAATGCAGAGAATACATATACACGTATATGCTTCTTTCATATCGCATGTAATACAAGACCCGCATTTACGTATATAAAATAGTAAGATTCTTAAAAAATATGGAATGACTTTCTTGACATAAAAATAAAAATGACTACTTATTATTTTGATTTTTACAATTATGAAGAAGATTTGACTACTTTAACTTTTGCCGTATTTTGTGAGTTTAAAGTTGCGAAACAGTCTAACTTAAAAACTGAATTCGCCAGTCTTCCTTGGATTTTTCAAAACGTTGCTGCTATTAAACCACCGATTGATTTACCAACAACAGCAGCATCCGCTGGCGCTAACACAACAAAGAATAGAGACAAAGACAAAGTAACGTTACCACCTAAGTCAACATCACCTGACGCCAACACAACAAATAATGAAGACAAAGACAAAGCAAGCAAACCAGAGATAACGTTACCACCTAAGTCAAATAAAAATGAAAATACAAGATTGCCTGTTTCTAATCAGCCAGAATCAAATAATCCGGATTCAGATTTGACCAAAACTGCAATCACTTTGCCAAAATCAAATCCCCCCGGATCGGAAGAAATCGATCCTAATTTGACACACATACCCATCTCTAATCCGCCAGATTCTACATCTCCGGATCTAAAATCTTCGATTAAGATAGCAATTTCAGAGCCTGCAAATCCATCGGTTCCAACTATAAAAGAATTAGAAAATCCGAAAATTGTTATTTCTAATCCACCAGAAATTACCACGATAGCGACAAAAGATGCTGATTCATACGAGCCGAAAATAGTTCCCATCGCACCAATAGGAAAACCAACCGTTTCTTTCAACATGAAATTGAATATTTTCATTAGAGATTATTATGACGAAACAGGAGTAGGAGTTGTACATTCTATGCAAATGTTAGAGACGAACAGGGGAGACATCTGGGATATCATATTTAAAGTGAGTTATTCACAAATTTTGGTTCCAATATTGAATTTAACTAATAAGCTATTTTTGTTTTTTGATATATTTAGGATTCGGTACAACAATTTCGAAAATATAATAAACGGACCATTGTACCTGATAACATTCTTATTCGAAATATGTCAAGATCAGATGCAAAAATTGGCATTGGAATTGATCGAAAGCCTGTCAGCATTATCAAAAGATATGTTACGGAAAAGGGAGAAGTTAAAAGTAACTTACCAAATGGTGCTGAAATCCAAATCAAGACACCTCCGGTATTTAAAGCAGCAGTATTTCGAGATTCTTTTGATCCCACGAAAGCAAAAGAAATTGATCCATCAAAAATTCTTGCATTTAAAATTGTCGAATTTGTTGGAATTAATAACCATGCAACTTTCGGCGTAAGTGGAAGCTTAAAGAAAAATGCTCTTGTACCCAGTATTCAATATTCTAGATCCAAATAAAACTTTCACATTTTTGCGTTATATTGGTCACGAGAAATCCATCTTTAGTTGTATTCTGATTTTATTACTTAACAAATACATGTGCATGTAATATTTATAAAACATCTTATTCATTTTCTGTTTTCTTTAAATATTCGAATAATTACATAAAATTCCGAGCGTGATTTTCTATAACAAGCATAGACTAAATTACATATTTCATAATTTTGAATCATCTCGAGCACCGTCAAAATAACCATATTCTACGTTAACAACGATTCTCGAACCATTAATAAGTCTAGCAGTAACCTTCGCGATATTTAGTCCTCCAGCGAAATCTAATTTTACAGGATCTGTTTGCACATCATATTTAACTATCCCGTCGACTCTATGAATTTGCAAATAATAACCATGAGTTATCTTAAATGCCGCTTTTGCATCGACGTAAACATTTTTTTTGTAAGCGGCTGGACGACCACCAATTCCGATCCCTAAAGTTGCTTTGGTTTTCGAACGATTTAGGATAGTTATCGTGTCAGGTTGTGCCTTTCCAATTGGATCCCTTTTGAATTGTGAGACATTATCCTAATTTTTTTTCAAATATGTTTCAATAAGCATGTAATTTTACTAGCAAGTTAGTCCAAGAATACCTTAAAAATAAGCGACCACGCTGTCCCAATCGCAGCAGGAATATTTTGAAATGCCTTGTATATGCCAATTCCTTTTAGATTAAAATAATCGATCACCATCACACTATATGATTCTTGAAATTCAACCCCAGCCATGCCACCTTCGGGCGGTACGGTCGCTTGTAAGAATGACACCTGTTCTTCCAGTCCAGGTTTATCGGCAAAATCAGCATGTATCGCAAATAATAAAGTATCCGGTGTAAAATTTTCAAAATCAACGCGATAAGTTCTTGGCATTTTTTGTCAAGAATTGTGAATAAACTGTAAAAATGCGTGTACGTAGTTTGCAAATATAACATTTATTTCTATTCATTTGTAATACCAACTGGGTGATACAAACAGATTTGCAAAAAATTTTCCTAATGCTAACGCTAAGAAATTCAAATTATACCGATACTAATTTCAAATATTAATCTTTTCTTTTAACGAGAAAATCTGGGATAATTAAAATTATTATTCTAGAAATTTTTATCATGAAATTCATGATATGCTGACAAATTCGATGCGAATTAACTTCAATTCAAATTCGCAATAAAATCTTTTAGATTCTTTATTTATTTATTTATCGAAAAGAAAACCCGTCGTGTAACTTTTTTATCACAAGGAAGACAGAATTGACTTCTTCCGTGCATTTTCTTGTATTGCAATATCCGGTAATACCTTTAAAAAGAAGACAAATTATTACTTATCCCTTAAGTATTGTACTTATCTTTGTTCTTCTTTGTTTCTTTTTTTACAATTCATAGTTTCCAATATAATTTTTACTTAAAAAAAAATTGGGGTATAAAAAAAATTGATCCATGATCCATGATAACACAAAATTTTGATTTGCTTTATTTTTTTACGGCTGTAATACACCCAACTCAATTAACACGTAACCCATATTTAGAATGATTGAACAATGATCTTGTGATACATATATTAATCCATTTCTCAATGAACTCAACAAGTTCAAACAAGTTTACGGGAACTAACACACTAATATCAAAACGGAAATACTGAAATAGGTAGGTATGATATCACTATTTTATATTTCGAAGAGCTTAAACGTTAATTTCTTTCAGAAATACCCGCTTTTCTACGAAAGCAGGTATTGTGTAAATAATAAAATATTCCCAAGAATTTTCTCCCGCGATAACGCAAATACACTAAGTGTTTACAATATGAATTCGTAAGCAACGACTTTGCAAACGCGTGTATTTTAGAAAGTAATACTATTGGTTTATGCGAGCTTTGAAACGTAAATTTCCTGGAAAGGATAACTAAATCTTTCAAAGATTAAGCCCACGAAAGATTTGGAGATTGTATTGTGTAAAGAAAAGCTCTTTAGCGCGGGAATGATTCCGAACGCCCGAGGCATTAGCTATGGCATGAGATGATGATCGAGAAATTCTAATTCTAACATGTCTCAATAAAATTGCTCAACCATTAAATTGTGATGAATTCAAAATATGTGAAGGCTATCGTAATTTCAAAATAACATAATAATATTTTATTTTTTTTATATGTTTCGAAAGAAGCTATTTAGATTTGAATCTTCCCTAAAAGCTGGTAGTATAATTATGTTTTTATACGTTAAGCAGCATTAATTGTTTAGGATTTGTTATAGCCTAGGCCCCGACCAGATGCATAGTTATTCAATTAATAAAAGTTTATTTTCAAGATACATACTGTTGGTAAAGGTGTGACATATGGTAATTTCAATCAAAGATTTTGCTATCTATAGTATACGTATATAATCTAGGCCTAGGCATAGATAATCCCTTGAAGCTCAAGTTTTATTTCATCTTTATCGTTCAAAGTTGCAGTAACTGTAGCTGCTGATCCCTCAAAATTTAAGGGTATTTTTGCATTGATTACGGCGCTCCAATTAGGCCAGTCAATCTCAATTTCAGAGAATATTCCAACATAGTATTTTTCTGGTAGGTGAAATACAATTGATTGTTTGGGTTTTAAATCGTCCTGAGTAGTGGCTGCAATCTTATCACCGAGTTCGAGACCAACGCTAAGCGGTTTTGTATCTTCATTGGTTATGGTGAGTTTATCCGGCTGAAAACAGAATCGCTTATTAGATCATTTGTTTACCGCGAAAAACAGGAAGCACTATTTATAATAGTTACAATTTTGTTGTCAAGTGTTAGATATTTTGTCGTTTCTGGATCAATTATTGGTACTTTATGACCTATCGGCCCATTTGCGACGACACTACCAAATTTTCTCTCGACGCTAAAAGTAACGGATTGCATCGAGTTTTTTTCGACGTCCACGTATAAAAAGGGAATTTCTCTATTAATTGCAACGTCGGGGAAATCGATATATATGCCAAATGTCAAATGGATATTAGTTTCATTAACACATGTTAAGGATTTGTTGAGCGCCATTTTAAAAATTTTAAAAATTAAATTTTAATTTTTGTTGATGAGGATTCACTCTATTTATCGTTATACATACGAAAACCCATGACCTACATAGTACGTGTGTTTAACCTATTTTTCTATCGATAATTAAGTTTAAATATTATTTTGCGCTGTTTAAAATAATCAGGTTTATATTCATTTCGTCTTTATAAAAATAATAACGACTATCGCTATTTGCGTCAAGTGCATAATTAAAGCTGATTAGTCACCAGGGATCGTCAACATTTCCAGCTGACAATTGTATCGCGCGTAAAAATAGTTTTGTTATGGCTTGGCTTGGTCAATTGTGTAATTGTAATCCTGTTAATGATTACGCTCACCACCAAATATCTTTCTTGTTCAGTATATAACGGACTAAGTTCAATCGCATTAAGCTTGAGTTCCTACAGATATAAAATCTATGTCGTATAAAATTTCAAAAAAATTAATGCATCAGATAATTGCATGTACATAATCTGGTAATTTTGCATTTTATCTCTTAACAAAATTCTATATTAATAACGCTAAATCTTGTTTTTTTCTGCAATCTGTTTTTATTTAGCTTCTAGGAAAGTTATCCATTGTTACAGTTATCGATTCTAAACGATAATAATACGTTGATTGTTCAATCAGCAGACTTTTTTGTGCATGAACAATGTAACAAGCTTCCAAAAATGTAATAACCCGCATTAATAACGATAATAATAAAAAATCATTAGGCGTATTAAAGGAACAATTTACATATATAAATAACGTTGATTTTCAATTCGTCACTTTGAATTTCCTATATAAAAAATCAAAAAACCAAACGAAATGTGGAAGCTCCATTATTACATTGAATGTGAAAATGTTGTGCCGGATAAGTCACTCTTGTTATGTGTATATCCCGCATGGTAATTTTTCAGTTCATTAAATTGTAAATAAATTAAAAAAAAAAAAAGAGAAATCGATTTTCAATAATTTTGTAGGTTAAAGGAGAAGAATTTAAGCAACCCTTGGCTTCAGACTCTGGTGTTAGAAAACGGCGCAACTGCCTTGAAATTTGCAGAAACATATGGTATAGTTTATTCTGATTATATTTCTGACGAAACAACCACAATTGACGATGCAGCACGTAAAAATTTATCGCAAAGAAAGCTTACTGAGACCAAAACTGGAAAGTCTTGGCAACTAATAGACAACGTGAGATCTTCAAGAATTTTCTATTCTTCATTGTTTTATTAAAGCTCATTATTCAAATTTATTATTTTAACTATCTAAGAATGGAGCACCAACTCTAAAAGAGGCCGATCTTAATATTTCCAATGATCAAATTATGATAAAGAACGCAACCAAAAAACAAATTATCACTGGCTTGACAATTGGTAATTTTATCGCCAACGCGAAAATCTTAAAACCCAATGAAGACATTGAAAAAGATAAAGACACTGAAAAAGATAAAGACACTAAAAAAGATGAAGACACTACATTAATGTCTCAAATTCCCACGAACACATCATACAAAATTGCCGTCTTTACGGATGATAAACCGAACGGAAATCCTGAAGCCGAAACTGAAATTAAATATGAGGGCGGGTTAAATGTTGCTAAAATTAGATTATTATTAAAATGGGGAGGCGGTTTAAAACTTGATGTTCAATATACATATCGTGCACGTAGTTTTTTCTAAGAACATGTTTTTTTAATTTTTTAGTTTTAAGGATTGTTCATTATTATTCACATCTCATCTTTTAATTCTCGTGCAATATGTTGCTACAGATGGAATAACAATAAATATGCTTCATTATCCGTGGTGTTATAGCATTATTATATTACGGGTTCAAATAAATGCATAGTAATATATTATATGAAAACATATCCGCAACGATCAGGCAAAATATATTAATTATTCCTCCCAAATAAATCACTTTGACAATCGATTTTCACAAAAAATAAGTAACGTGCGGGTAATATCCAATTCTCGCTTTACTGCACGTCGATCGATGTAGCTCTGTAATACTTGTATTAGTATATAAAGGTTTGCCAAACAGTACCATCTTTTTCCCTTTTCTAAAGAAATATGGCTGACGAAATTTATACGTTTGAATTTAGAAACAACGACGCTAAATCTTGGAATTTTTGTATTTTTCTTAGGTATAATTCGTTGTTCATCAACATGAATAAATTATCGATTAATTTTATCGGTCACTTACTGGCATCTTTAATAGATTACCCGGACACCAAGTTACGTATTTGCCTTTATACCGTAAGTCAATCAGGCCTGACGACAAAGATACACATCTATTATCGGAAAAATTCCAAATAGCTACCTCTAAATATGAAACCGCTGATGAGGGAGATCCATTCGTACTTCGACCACGTGTAAAAGTTTACTTCGGCACAATGTGGGAATTACATGATCAAGTAGTTATCAAGAAAAAGCTTTGATTATGTAGTGTATATTTACTTTAATGAATTCATTTTGTTTTAGGATGGCGAACCGAGATTAGAACTTTTCCCCGACGGAGGTGTAAAACAAAATAGTCTCATTATTAAAGTAATGATGCTTTTTTTAACAGTAACGGATAGAATTCGCTTATGATAAAGACTAAAATAATTTTATTTGCCCATAATTGTATAGAATTCTTCAAGAGGTAAAGTGGCACTCGGTTTATTTATTGATGATATTATTGCTGTGATAAGAAGAAACGTATGGGTCGATACGCGTGCATCCTTTTCCCTATTGGAAACTTCGTCATTTTATGTTGGCATTTCCGATCCACAATTGGAAAGTGAACCAATTGATGGAAATATGCTAAAAAACAAAATTTCTGTTAAATTTGATAACGGTCTTAACTATGTCACAGTTACATTATCTCCTTCACCTTTTGAGGAGAATCCCCCTCAACTTGAAGCTAAATGTAGTTTCAAAAACAAGTTGTAAATTCCGTTGGAAATCACACAGTACGCCACACTCTTCTTTATTAATTAAAACATTGTCGTATGAATTACTTCAATTTAGTATAAAAACTGTAGGCTACGATCCAAGTATTAGAGTACAACTGATATTAACCATATAAAAACTATATAATGTAAGTCATAATTAATGTAGCAGTTGGCAAACAGAATAAGTTAAGCACGCATTTTCGTTATCGTTATCGTTATGTAAATTATATTTTATGCGGCATAATTCCGTTCATTTCTCGCCTTTGTAAAATGTATCGCAATAAATTATTAGCCCGATGCCATTATAAATCCTGACAGGTCATAATATTTGAGGTACGAAACCTCAATCAAAATTTCGAGATGAGTTAATTCAAGATGACAAAGATAGCATGATTATAAATTTCTGGATTTTTGAGCTGCCATGATTTAGGATTTTGAATTGTCGCGTCCGGGTATTGTGATTTTGGGATTTCGTTAGTTGGGTTATCATGTGTCTTATATCATTATATACAAATGAGGTAAAAATATGATAAGTCATACATTTTGCATAAGCAACAGAACTTCAATATACAAATTAACTAAATTAAAGATACAGCATGGCAAAAAAATGTTATGGATTTATCTTAACGTGATTAATTTTTTTTGAGGACGCCTCATTGGTAGAACTTTTTACAAACAACTATACATGCTACCATAATGCCACTTCAATTCCGAGAGCAAACCTGTCCATAAATTCATTTGAAAGTGAATTATATTACTGCGAACGGTAATATGTCATAATCCCCGCTTAAAGAAAACGAGAGTAAGAGCAAGTAATTTTAATGTTAAATACAAAGTTTATCAAACTAAGAAAATTCTATGGAAACGAACACGCCATGCAAAAAAGTTTATGGAGTTATCTTTGTGGCGTGGTTATACTTTACAATTAACAGCTATACATGTTATCATAATGCAACGAGAGCAAAAACTGTGCATAAATTGCTCAATTTGCTCATTTGAAAATGAATTGTATCATTATACACCGTTGTTCTTTTAGAACAACTAATATTCTTCTCAAATAACAGAACTCATTCAGTAATCAGAGATTTGACTAGATGAAAAAGTATGAAACATATTTAAAATAAAAGATTCCCAAATGCACCCGGTATCGACTATGTCACTTTGCTGGGAGCTGATGTCCCGAAAACGGTACAGTTGGTGTAAATTACCGAAACTTAATTGTGTCGTAAACTATTACGACAATAATGAAAAGGAAGATACAAAGCTAGCCAAATTTTCGATACTAAACTTGGAACAGCTTGGGGAACTCGTCGAAAAGGTAAAGACTTTTTTAATTATATTTTCGTTATGAAAGTACACTCGTGTCATTATTGAATATCATTACTTTATAGAATGTAGTCTCACATTTCGACAAACGGTTTCTTCAAACGTTGAAAACATAATTGTCATTAACAACTCTTCAAAAACAACCGCCTCTTTGAGAATTGATATCCATCTGCTATCAAGATATATGTTATCGGGAACCATCAATAGCCCGACAACTAAAAAATCCCGACAATCCAACACGACAGTTCATAATAAGTTTAAAGATTAGGGCAGAGGACAAGAGATGGCATTGGTTTTCAATATTCATTTTCCATATCTTGTGTGCGATTTGTTTTGCCGGGTTTGATCTAAAATTTGCGCATCCTATTGGGCACGGACTACACTTTAACCGCTCATTTTGGGAAGTAGGTTTGCCGTTTGTCGGGATTTTAAATTGACGGGAAGATGAATCATCGGGATATTGCACTGTCAAGATGTTGTATTGTCGGGATTATGGACTGTCGGGATGTTGTATTATCGGGATTATGGACTGTTGAGATGTTGGATTGTCGGGATTTTGGCTGTCGGGCTATTGTAAACGCAACTATATTATCGCATAATATTATCGGATTTATTGTTGTAATTTATTAATAAAATCTTTGCATTCATTTATAGAGAAAACTATATGTCGATGCCCGTCGCAGTTTTCAACCTTACATGTTGGGCACTTTCACAGATGTGAACTGAAGCGTAACGAATTTTTAATTTAATAGCGATATAGAAATTGTGTTCAACTGGAATAATTCGCAATAATTCGAGCCGACACGTGTTCAACCTTGACGTGGCTTATAGCAATCGCGCAACAGCAAAGCCTATAATCTAATTTTTTTTCTATCAAATCATTAAATAATAATAAAATTATGAACTAAAATTAAATTAAACTTTATAATTAAACAATGAATTGAGGCATTGGATGTTCATTTAATTTGAAACTCTTTTCCAATGAATTCAATAAAAATTAAACACCAATTATGGTATTCCTTAATTAAAGATTACCAAACAATTTATCCTAGCTTTGGCGATTTAGAGACGCGCGTTAAAGTGCCTTACGAATCAATTTTCGACTAATTTTTATTCAACATATCAATTGTTTCAGGCTGATTAAAAGAGAGAATATAATCTCGTGTATAATCTAAAAAAAACAACTCTTTTTTAATTGGCCCGTCATTTGGACCAATGAGTTAAAGTCATTGAGATAGGGATCGGCACAATGATAGTCAAAATTCGACTTAACTTCTATGTTACCACTTAGCTTGTAAACACTTCTCGTCTATTTTGAACATAATACTTGATTTTTCAAAATAAATATAAAACTTTGAAAAGAATCTATTTGAATTTTAAAAGATGTTTTGAAGTTATTTGTTTTTAAGTTCGTCGTCTATTGACTGATTGAGTATTGAGAAAGCTTAATCTTTTATGAATAATACGATTTTGAGAATTGTATACAATTATTTTCTTCAAATATCTGATAATTTTTATATCTATCATACACTTGCAGAAAGCAACTAAGATTTTCGAAAAGATCTTTAAATTCAGTTACTGTGTTGACCGAAAACTGATTTCTTGATTAATAAAATCTTGAGATCAGTGTTGACATTCGGACCAATTAAAATCTACGATCAAATATGGCATAAATGAGCTTATCGTTGGCTAAAGATTAGATGAACAGATTTAAACAATCTATACTAACATGCGCGTTCAGCAATAATAAATTATGACTCGCATATTTCTTCGGAACAAAATGACGTATTTTTACCTAAATTTTGCGGAATCTATAAGCTAAATTATATCCCTATAAGAGTTCAAGCACTTAAAATTAGACAGAAAAATTAATCTCAACAACAAACATACCGTATACTCCCACAAATAAGCCCCAGATCAAAAAGTCTTGAAAACTTGAATAAATAATCCCGATATTAAAAATTATTATTAATATATTAAAATAATTTTATTTAATTTATTATATCCTAACTCTTCAGCGGAATTATCATCGTCATTAACTATCTCAGCTGTATTTTCTACTCCGCAACGTTAGTCTCATTTTTTTGTTTGTTTCTCACGCATATAGTCATCGAGACGCCCGGTATTTTTTTAAGGAATTTCTAAACTACTCGAAACCCTTTAATTTTCGACCCCCAAAATGATGACCTGGGGGGGGGGGGGTTGCTTATTTTCGGGAGTATACGGCAACCGGTCTATAAATGGAGTAAAATAAATATAAGGCAAAAGAGGGTATTTTGGTATTGTGACGAAGATGGAGAGGATGAGGATGTCAATGTCATGAGATCAAAAAGTATCATGCATCTCGATATTAATAATTATCTTACATTACACATTTTGCCAATGACATTTAAATACGTGATACCCTTCAAGATAATGTGACTCATACCCAATATTCGTCAAAATACTCCCCTTTTTAACTTATGAAAGGGAATCAATCATCATGTGGCGTCATATGTAACTGTAATTTCATGAACACAGCTAGCTCGGGTATCTTTAGTTTTACAACGAACGCTCTAATTCATCAAGATTTTTGGTCAACTCTTTTCAGTTGGAAATATGCAACCTGAAAGAAATTTCTTTGTTACACCACACTTATGCTGTTAAATTGTCACCGTGTTACAAGCATTTTCATCATGTGAAAATTCAGGTACAACTGTATTGGCATGTAATCTGTGCCATGACGTTGAAATTACCAAATAACAATGGAGATTGATCATATGACATAATGAAATTTCATTAAAAATAGCCGATTAGATTTGTAATTTTTATTCCGTAATTATAAATATTTTATCTTTCAGAGTCAAATTATTACATGTGTATTTCATTTATACTTGCAGATGGATGTAAATGATCCTTGAATCTAGTATCATGACAAAGGAATTTGTTCAAATGACTTTTGTTTTTCCATATTTTTAATAGAACTTACGTCTGAACAATCATAGAAAGGCAACAATACTTCTAAGCCTAGAGCTCATTCTATGCATGAAGGTTGAAAGACACGAAATAAAGACATGAACAGACTGGAAAAAATTTCTCCGATTATCGGTAGTTTAAGACAGGATTTTTTCCGAATCTTTTATTACCTCTTCGATTATTTATCGAAGGTTGAAACCCAATCGTAAAACCATCCGTGAATTCCAAGTTTTTTAATATCGATTTGTAAATATTTTTGATATAAATTCGTGACAGTCATCAACGTTAAAGAATCTTTAACACACGTGGTTTCAACGATGCTGTCACATAGTACACGCCGAGTGATTAATGCATCTCATTTTGTACATGTAAATCCCAATTAATATAGAAAATTGCATATACGTGTAGACGAATTAAATTCTTTTATTGACTGAAAAAAATTAGTAAAGACATTTCTCAAAACCTGCAAATATTTAAAAGTGCTTTATTCTAAATTTCGTGATTAGTTTCGATTGGATTGCGGTACTATATATAGACATAATGTAATGTAATACATTTAATTGGTCGGATTTCTGCAAATCATCCTTTCCCAAAAACAAAGGCAAACAGCTTTAAAAACAAGTTTACAGCATTGGATTCATTCGACATAGATCACCCAACAAAACTATAATGATCAAAATATTACATATGCCACATGGGTTATACAGTACATGTACAAAAGAGAGTTGCCGGCCGAATTATAATTTTATCATTCAAAATTTTATTGCCGTTGAAATCATTTTTACAATAACAGAAATATCTTTATGCAGAATGATAAGGGTGGGTTAATATACGGCTAAAAGTTTAGAATAAGATGACTGATTAATAGTGCATATAAACGAAAATGAGACAGATTGATATATGTAATATCTGAAAGAGATGAGATAAATGGAAGGAACATGCGCGTCTTACATTGCCAAACGATTCACAAACTCCTGATTGGAAGGCGGGGGTTAATAGTATTGGTGTTTACGTTACTCGTACATGTCGTTATGATTATCGTATTTAAATTTGGGAATGAGAGACGCCATCCATATTTTTTACAATTTTCGTAAGTTTTCTCTATAAAAGCAAACATCAAAGACAAAACATGATTGATTGGTGTCGGCACTTCTTGCCAAACTCACTTGATCATCAAATAACCTCTTGGAAGATGCATGAGGCGAGAAATATAAGGAATCAACGCCGGGCGAGAGAGTCGTTCTCAAAAGCTGACTCTGATTCAAGAATGGTAGATGTTTTGGAAAATCTGATCTTTTTGAACGTGCAATAAATTCTTACCAAATTTTTTTCTCTGTTTCATTAAAGAATTTATCAACAGATTTATTGGAGAAACTACAGAAAGAAAGATACACCACACAAGCAATAATAGAAGAATTGGAATGCCGTTTATACGGGTATGAATTAAATTATTATCCTAATGCATTACCTACGCGCGTAGACACATTTTCGAATAAACTTTGTTTTAATCTTCCTTATAGAAAAGAACCTTCAAAAGAACTAACTTTCAAAGATATTTTTCATAGGGGAGGTTCGAATATAAGGTTAGTCTTTTATATCATTAGGATGTAATGTTATCGTTGAAATAAACAAGTTCTTACCTTTTACTTTCATATTTAGTGATATATCTGAAATTGGCGAAATGACAAAAGATTTTACATTTCCTGCTTATAGCGATTTAGAAGCTGCTCGAAAGAATCAGAAGAAAAGTTTCATGCTTAAAGATCCACCCATAGTAAAAGAAAAAGAAGAAGAGGAAACACGTTTAGATAAGATATGTGATTCATTAACGAAACTTCTTGAAGAAGCACAAGTGGCTCTATCGCAACCAGTGCAAGATGAAACTGTTATGACACACGGACGAAAAGAATCTGTCGATACGGCGTGGGATTCAGCGAGCACAATTTCCGCTCAATCAGAACAAATAATGACTCCCGTTGATTGCGAACAGAATGGCTATTTTGATGTTCCGACACTTTCTCGTCATTCTTCGATATCATCATTATCGACGTCGCCTAGAACACCAGGATCTTCGTTCATGGAAGAGATGTTTGATGATGAGCCAATAGAGAAACCGTTACCACCTCCGTTAACAACCGCGTGTCAACAGAGTTGTGAAAATTTGGAAAATGAATTTCAGCGTTTTATTTGGACGCTGGAAGCTGAATCATACGATGATAACAACATGATGCAGGAAAATAACACGGCATTGGATTGTAATAATTATAATTATAATTACGTCGATGCTCGATATCAACTTCAAAGATATTTAAATGCACCAACAACGACAACAGCAAATATAATGAATGATAACGATGAAAGAGTCTATTTTGATGAACCGGAAGAAATAAAGCAAGATGAAAATGCCTTGAATCGAGCAAAATTACAACAATTCATAAGCAACGTTTCCACGGTGGAAAATCTTTTAGCAGTCACCGGATTTCTTTTCGGTTTTGCTCAAATTATCATGGCAATTAGATGTCGGAGTTCCAACCGATTGATCGATCAATCTCCCAATGTTCTACAACAAAATGGCAAGAAATCAATCTTTAGAGTTTTAAAATATTTGGGAGTATTCAGTGTTGGGTGGGCGGTTGGACGAAATAGCAATAAACAATCAAAACAACAAAACCAACGACGTCGTCGTTTTCTCTAGAAAATTCTCGGCAGGGCCGATATTTACACTTTAAACGAACAATTTTATTATGCACATAAGCTAGACCAAAAATGTAAATAAGTTTTTTTATTTATCCACCTCTAAATTTCGTAAAAAAAAATTACACCTTTAATTTAATAGTTTTAGAAATTTCTTGTAGATTTGGACATTTACTTTTTTTTACTTGTATACTACTAGATTTTCGTTTATCGTAATATTTCGTAATTCTGTATTTCTCGGCTTTTTTGGCTGATCGTTTTTAATTATTCGTTTCGTAATTAGTTCTGTTCTCTGTTCAATTCACATCCGAAAAAAAATTTTCCCAATACATGTATCTCCGCTCGCTAATCGAATTATTTAAATTTCGTTCGATTCCAATAATCTCGAATCTGTTCTCCAATAAAAATTTTTTCCGAAATCAAATACATGTATATGAGTCATTGCCTTCTTAAAATCACGAGAGATTGCAAACTAGCCAAATAACGATAATATTTTTCCCCAATTTCCTATAATACATGTAATTGCTTAGCGTTAGAGGGCGAGGGATTTACATTAATAAGCAGCATTCTTTTTCAGTCATTATCCCCCCTGTCAGCTGCTGTTTTTCATTTATATGTACATCATGTATCATTACGTAAATGCATTATTATTTTATCTAGATCCAATCAGTCTCATAATTGAAATATAAGTTAGTCAGCCCGAATGGCAAAAACATTTTTACAAGGATTGTGTAATATCATTTCACATGTGAATGTGAGTCTGTTGACAAATTTTTTGATCCCGAGTTGCATAAATATATTAGTCAAACATAAAACTGAAATTACACCAAGTTAATTATCATTGATGAAATTAAAGAATTCAATCTATTAAATTCAAAATGTGATTCATTACGGTTCAGCCATTTCTGTTCTAATTAAAGCTTCGTATACTATAGGATGCAACAACCTATATACCTATATAATAAAGTAGACTAGCTTTGTTTCTTTTGTTTAAACTTATAGGCGATTAAAAAATGCCCAATTCTCTAGAGTTTGTCATCTTTTTTTTTCTCGTCATGTGTTCGGTTAACACAAAAGTAATTCATGGTAAATCTCATTGTTTGGGGCATTGTCATTATTTGGAATTTCATTTAATGAAAATTCTCTTTAGGACAATTACAAAACTTGATTCAATACATCACGGTAACTCAATTAACCCCACAAATCGTAACCAAGATTGTGTATCTACCGTCACCAGTGACCATATTGAATCCAATGACTCAGCTGATTCCGAGCAATTATGCAACTCAGGATCAAATCAGAACGCCGAAAACTCTCGAACCAGTCAAATCTCCTGAAACCCAGCAATCGATATTGCCGACTTTTGTTATGCAATCTATGGCTACATCGTTTCCACAAACTATAATGCAACAATCCATTCCCCCTGTAATTTCAATGATTTCTTCGCAATTGCAAAACTCTCTGGTTTCCGCATCGCACATTAACACTCAAGCATCGAAATTTGAACCTGATCCAAGTCTCACTACAAATATTATCTCAGCCGTCTCTAAAATTGATACGATTTTTTCGTTTCCTACGTTTCAATATACAACAACGCCAACTTTTACTTTTCCTACACAAACTACCACTACGACTCCTTACAGCACAGAAACAAAAACTACAAGGACAACTCCTTCCACTTTGACTTCTTCGACTACGACAGAATTCTCGATTACTTTGCCTCCAACTGGAACTGAGACTGCGAGTGCCTTGAGAATTGTGCCGAATCAAGAGTCATCTCTATTGTATTTGGCCGGACTCCTGGGAATAACAGCCTCAACTTTTCTTTTCTATATATTCTGATGTCAAGATATATGAAAAAAGTGTACGAGCTTAATAGTTTATTATAAGTTTTGATATTTGTGGACATTATTTAAACAATAATTTAGAGTTTTGAAATGCTAGAACTAGAAACATTATTGTGAAACAATTTAACTTAATTTTATCGCTAATATAGATTATCTTAGAGCTTAATATTTTATTTCGAAAGGGAACACACCAATTTTCCCCATTAAATCCAATATTAAAAAGAATAAAGGTTTCGTCTCTACTTTCGAATGAACACAAACCTGAATACAAAGCATTGTTAGACCTTGATGTTGCAAATTAATAAACAGTACAGGATGTATAAATATAGGAATCTTAAAGTTACTAATTTTTATTTGATTTTTTCATACAAAGAACATATTGTAATATTAATCTTTCAGCCAATAATGAAATTCTTTTATTAAAATTAGTGTATTTTAGGCTAGGAAGAAAGTGCATTTGATGATGATATTCGAAATGAATTATTCGATAAAACTTTAATTATCCATTTCTTAAGGATTAATTTCAGAGTTACCATCTCATGTTGATGACTTTTGAACATGAATTATTGCTATTGAATGAATGAATGATTAATTTAAACCTAATTTTACAGGAACAGAATTCAAGTCAATTTGTATATAATAATAACATGGATGATGGTGATGTAGTAACAATTTATTATAAAAGTAAGAATTTCTGTTAAATGTTCAAAAAAATTATTAAATCTGGGATATACATACAGTACATGTATATTTCACTAGTAGAATGAACTCTAAATCTAAACATTAATTTTATCAATAAAATCTTACTGCCCAAACATATACTGTAATGTATTAATCTTTAGGTTGACTCTTTCAGCCAAAATTAATCTAGCACCGAGTTAAAGAGGCTTACTATGTATACTACATTTTTGATTTAATATTTTAAAGAAAATTAAAGGTGTGCAGCCATAATATTTTTTTCGGTGGATGGCATTCTTCCCTTTATAGCTGGAAATGCAGTCACAATTTTCCCACCGGATTTTATTAGGTGGATATCTATTCTGTAGGGTGGAATAAAAATATCATTTACTACTCCATTGAAATTCTTGGAATTCTTATAGTAGCGTGCAAACAACGTATACAAAGCTATTTCGAATTCTGGTGTCGTGCCCATAAAAAGAGTAGATAACTTCTTCTTTTCTTTTATAGCTTCGGTTTTGTCCGCCCTCATCAGAACATAATCAAAAGTAATTGAAATGACGGGATCCTTTTCAGCTGCCTAATAGAACAAAAATTTTCTTTGCTTTAGTAAGGATATACAGTATACATGTATTTATTAGGCGAAAGGTTAAAGCTTACTTTGTATCCAAGAAAGTCGTCTGGAGCTTTAGTTCCATTATATATAATTTTGCTTTTTAGTGCTTTATCTTCACCGAATTCTTGATGTCCTGGAATGGTTTTATCATCTGCACTTGCTTGGATATAACTCAAGCTAAGCCAATTATGAAGACCTATTATAAAGGATAGGGGGAATTTGATTAATTACTCGTTTCTTATGGTAAACAAATCATTATAAATATGAGAAAATCTTCGTTATCACCTGTTGCTCCTGTCTTCTTTATTTCTCCAAGAAAAATGTGTTCAAAAGCACTTGTATCCTTTATATTCTTATTATCAACCTCTCCAGAACTGCGTAAATTGAACCAAATTCTTCTAAGCATACGTTTAAATTCAGATGCTCTTTGTGTATGAGTGCCTTTGTACTTGAACTGATCGTAGAGGGCCTTTCAACAGATACAAACTTTAAATAAATATTTATTATTTTTTCTAATAAATAAAATAATGAATACCTTACCTTAAAAATATATTGAATAGGTTTAGTAAGATAAATGGCTCTAATAAAGTCGTCGATTTCCTTTTCTTGCAGTTTGGTAAATTCTTCGTTAATACCACGCGAAGCATGATAATTGTCAAGTAGCGTTTTGAATGTTTTGAACGTCGGAGATTCCCAAAGACCTTCAATATTTTTCGTGAATAAGTTATGGCTGTCTATAAATAAAGACGATTATGTATTAGGCATAAAGTTGTTATATATTAATAATTACTACAAATTTAAGCACCTAGTTCACTTAACGGAGACTGACTTAAATTGAGCGTATACTGGAATGACAATAAAGAACATGTATAAAATGATATCACAACATACATGCATTTATCAAATACTCACAGACTCTGACGATACCCAATTTCCTTCAAGTTTAGTCAATCCAATTATTATACGTTTTAATTCCTCGGGGTTAGCAGCGTCAGGGTTAAGTGTAGAAATATTTTTAGGATCAGAAAGTTCTATACCCTCAACATATTCATTCGCCATAATTAGATTTTTCTCGTATTTTGCATTAACTCAAAGCATATATGACTACTTTGTTTAATTCGATTTTACACGTAGTGGCTTATTTATAAAGTTTATCCATTTATGTATTTCATAATTAACGTTAATGTTACTGGGGAATAGTGCATGAACATGTATTCCCTTCCTGATTTATTAACAACCGCAACGCATTTATGTGTTTCCTACTTCGTCTCTCAACAGGTCTCCTGCATATGAATAAAGCACATAAAAATCGGTTTGTTGGTTAAAGCCAGCTCAAATTTTAATCAGTCTTTAAATTGGAATTAAAACTGACTTATTAACTTTTAAGGAAGAACTATGATATTCAAGTGTAATAACCACTGAAACGATATGTAAGAGAATTCGACACCTCAATTAAAAAAAAGGTTTGCAACTTAATAAGCATGTAAATAAAGTTCTGATTGTCATCGTTAGATACCATCATCATCACCCCCAAGAGGTCAAGATTTTAAAACCGGACATTGAGAAGACAAGCACGATGAGATAATATGAAATCTATTATCACATTCAGATAAATCTTTAGATCTACCAGAATGTGATAATTAAGTCTTGCCCTTTTTGTTTTTCCCTGTTGTGTAAATCTAGGATTATTTTATTTGAAACCTGTCTTTAAGATATAAGTTCAATAATTATACTAAAAATGCATTTGCAAAAAAGCTCGTAATTGGATTTATTACAAAATGGATATATTGTAAACTAGAAAATAATAAAAAATAATGTAAAAATGAACTATAATAGTAAATATTGATCAATAAATATCAAATCTGCTTAAAAAACGAATGCATGAATTTAAAATAATTATTTGCTAAAAACCAGCACGAACAACAGTTAATTTGTAATTCCTTCATTTTTTGGGCTCTTCATAACCAGCACCAACAACAGCTAAATTCGCAATTACTTCATTCTTATCCGTTTTCACTACTTGATCCAGCACATACCATGCAAGAAAGGAAGTCGTCGATTCATGATCGAGACCACGCATTGGCTTATATTGAAATAAAAAAGATCGGGAACCAAGAAGGTATATGATATTTTCTTTTTCTTTTCGATCAACATAAAAACCGACGTAATGTACAGAAGGTGACCCAGAATCGTCAGATTTACCAACTCTAATAAAACCTTTCACGTTTTTCTTCTTAAATTTTTCATTGATTATTCTGTCTAGAATGCATTTTAATGCGTATTTATTAAATGTACCAGTAAGAATTTCACAAATCTAATTACAATTTTAAGAATACTTAGTAAAGTGATCAGATAATATTTGAAGCGAACCTAGAAAATAAAAATGAAACTTACTCGTACAGATTTAAAAGAATAATTCACTACACTTTTTTCAAGATATTTGGAAACAATATTCGTTTCTTTTTCGACCTTATATTCTTCCCATTCACGACGCAAATCCTTTGTCATTGTTATTAAATTCTGTTTATCGTTCTTTGAGAAATTTCTTATACCGATATCCGCTGAGTTCTCTGGTTTCAACCAGTAAATGATTAATGCAGCTCTCGAGCCTTGTAGTTCCTTTTCTAGTCCATCTAACTTCTCGTAATAATTCACAATTTCAACATTATTTACGTCGTTGGGATCATATATTATGTCACACGCGAACTTCTCTTCATATTCTTTCCTGTTATTCATGCATTTATTTTTTTTATCCATGCTTTTATTTATGATTTTTTTATAATTGCCAAATTTTTTTTAAAAACTTAAAAGTAAAACTTACATGTCCTTTTATACATAATTAATCTGGTAACCTTAAAGATCTTCAGAAATGTGGATATTGTTCTGTGTCGGATACAATTTAATAATCACATCGAGGGTTTAGATTGTACGCAGACGAAAATTCTTACTATAACGATAAATTGTTGTACAAGATTCATAATATGAGTTCAAAATTTGGCCCAGACCAGAACTTAAGCTGGCTATATTATATTTTTTAACAAATAATATGGTTCAAATGAACGTTTCGGAACAGAAAATTTATTCTCGAATTTTCATTAAACGATAAAGAACTAATATACAGTCAATGGGAATTTATAAATAAAAAACATATGGATATATAAAAGATTATTTTTACAATATAGAGATTAACTTTTTTTTGTTTTTGATAAAAAGTCAAAACACTAAATACGTCCGCTTTTGATATAGCTGTTTTATCAAACACAAGCTCTGCAATATTAGAAGTTTCATTTCTGATATTTATATATACCAAAAGATTCGTTTTTAGATTCGACAACCAGATGAATTAAATCTTTTTCTCCAATTTTCTGGGCACATCTAACTTGCCAGGTAATAAATTTCTGTCTAGGGTCATTCGAATCACCTCGAGAAGAGACACCGAAAATGGTGAGACGCTTGATGTTTATGGCTTTATCTTTAAAATGCATCAGACTTCTCCTCGTTGATATAAACATCTTAAGGTCAAACTTTGGTTTTTGATCTGATGATATTTTATGGGGTTGCATTTCTATTTTTAGTTAAATTAAATGCAAATATGAATTTAACATAATAAAACACAAATAGACATACGTAACATTGCGAAGACAATGTTTGTTCTGCATTTCCGAAAATTTAGTTTCATTCATAAAACCATTATCTTTATAAAATCAGAAGAAAGTAATACTTCTTTAGGTAAATATTGTTTTTATACTTCAGAGTGATCTTTAAAAGTAACTTTACTTTTTGTATGTCTGACACGGGTTCAATCTCTTTGAGGAATATGCTTGTATTATTAGCGTTTGTTTCATTAAACCTGTCGCCATTATATATATATATATAAAATACGCTCAAACATTCTTGAACTTCTTTGGCATTGTTAGTAAATGTCTTAATATCTTTAAAACCTAGATCGATATTCAAATTGATTTAATAATTAATTTGATTAGGTATTTTAAATTAAAAATTACCTTAAAGTAATAATTCTTTTAAATCCTCATTTAACAATGCAATAGCGAATCCAAATGGATAGTGAACCGCACATTCGTTTATCAATGCCTCATCATCAAAGGAAAAAACTTTGCATTGGCGTCAAGTTATGAAGGATCATAAACAAAGACATGTAAAATGAAAATTTGAATTAATACAATCCATGTATTCTGATACGCAGTTGAATGACTCCTGTTACATTATAAATTCTAAGTTCTATATTATTGATAAAACATTGAACAAGCAATTCTGTTCTTTGAAGCTTGGATGTCAAAAGGTTTTATTATCGATAAAATGATAAATGATATATTCATTGACTCACAAGTTATAATTCATATTCATTTTTATTTATTAAAACAATAATCTGTATAAAAATTGTTTAATATGTAATAAAAAGCATAATCGTAACTTTGATTTTAGACTTGCGATTATAATAAGAGGTTAAACAAAAATATTTACAAGTTATATAATAAATTCAAAATCACATAGCATGACATAAATGTGATCATCATCCGATTCAACTATTAGATCTATCAAGGACCGGATTATGAAATTCGACATTGAAATCACATTCCATCTTTCTAAATCACATCCCATTTTTCTAAATCACATCGCAATTCTTGGAGATACTTTTGACATATTCCAAATTAGGATCAAGTTTATTTCTTGTTTAAGGTCGGGAGATCGGCATGGGAGATTTTCTGAGTTTGTTTTTCCTGATTGTACCAATAATTATCCAGCACACAATAAATTGGCGGTAAATCAGTTTTTGGAAAAAGCGCATCTGTGTGTTGTGTTCTGCAATCCGGTATGAAACGTTCTCAGAACAATATTGATTCCTCGGTGGCTTTTTAAAATTTAGGGTGATAATCCAAGTGTGTAATCACGGCACCTTTTCAAACTCTTAAATCTCAAATGTGGCTTGAATTTTGAAAACCATATTATTTGTGAAATCTTATGTTTTTACGTGTATAGCAGCAATGCAAATGTTCTTACTGCGAATGTAAGAAAGCGTACTTGCTTTTATTAAAAAAATTAACAAAAAAATAAAAATAATAAATGTCTGAATATTTCATTGATTTTATCAACGACGTGCCTGACGATACACTCAGATTTGGTGTGTATCAAACATGAATTCCTCTCTCGAATATCTAATTCATACAATGAAATACATGTAAATATTAGAGAAAGAAATTTGCATTTATCTAACATGGCCTTGTATAAAATAGATTCGCTAATACTCCGGGAATGGATTCGGTCGCGTGGTTGCAAGCAGACGTAACAGAATCCGGCGTCAAATTCTATGAGACTTATTGTGTAGTGAACGCTGATTATTCTGATAATCAAAAAGGTTGTTATATGGCAATCCAAACTTATGACACTAAGTTGGGAACTTATAGATCGTGTAAAAAATTTTATTCTGTTTTTCGATTCGATAATAGATATTCAGGATTCTATATTTTGAAACTTTAAATAGAATCGAATCTCACAATTTAGCAAAAAAGTTGATACACAGGAGCTGACAACCTCATCCGTATAAAAATTCGGCGAAGGACGTTGCTTCTTTGGGTATTGGTATGTCTGGAAGGTTATCAGCAATCAAGGTAAAAATTAGCGTCTGCTAATAATTGATAAACTTTATTAAACCAAAATACTTTGATTCAATGACAGCATTTAAGGTCACACCTACTTTTTGGATCGGCATCTTTTCAGATCCTCGAATTGGTGATATAAGTTTATTGAATGGTTTTTACGCTACATATAATTTTATCAGTATACCTTAAAAGAAGATAAAACACGCTTCAATACATTCATTTTATTTGATTCATTGGAAACACCCAAAATTGTATACAATGGAGAAAACGCCGCGACCGTACGAGCATATCTTCAAGGAGACCAATTCAAATTTGATTAACCTATAGTAATCGTAAACCCGCAAAGAAATTTGTACAACTTCTGGAAATATATTATTTCAAATAACTTAAAGAATAATATATATAATGTATACTATATATTAGATTTAAAAATATAAATTGTATTATTTCTATTCTAATATTAGATATTCTATTTCTTTTATGATAAATTCCAATAAAAATGGATTATAAAATGAATCAATAATAACTTAATTTTACTTAATTTTCATAAAAAGTTTATATTTCAGCTTTCTACAACTTATTTTGAAATATACCATTATATATTATTTTTAATAAAGACTTTGAAAATAAATTTTCACTAATTTTTACATATAGAAATTACAAATAATAATATTAATCTTAACCTTAATTATCTTGTCTTGTGTAAGTAACATTATTAATTGATATATTATATAAATTATGAATTTTTACAGACTCTATAAAGTCAAATAATAGAATATAAATATTATTCTATTATAATTTTTATTTTGCTTAGTTTCTTCTTTTTTTCTGATTTTCTCAAATTCTTCTCCTTCTCTTTCTCTTCTTTTGTGATTATTTAAAAATAAATATCTATTAAATACTTGAAAATAATATTTCTAATCTGATTCTGAAATTATTAGTTTATTATTCTTTTCTTCTGCAGATTTATATTAATATTTAGTATTTTAACTACTAAATTATTTTTTGCTTCCAATATTTTTTCTCATAAATTTCTAAAATAAATTAATTTTACTATATTATTATTAAATACAAATATTTTTAAATAATACAGAAGATTTTCTGAAATATATTTAGATAATATCTAATAAGAGATAATAATATATTTTATATATTTTATATTAATATTAATCTTATTAATCTTTTAAATAGTTCTGACATATCTAATTTTTTGAGTAAATATAAAGCTATAATCAGATATTTGATCAATTTTTCTAATATGATTATTATAATATGAATATTATTAATATTTTATTTGAGAATAGTTTTGAGATAAAAAAATATATTATTATAATTATTACTTCAAAATTTTTCTAAAATATATAATTATTATTGATATTACTTATCTAAATATTAATATTACTTATTCAAAAATAATTAATATCAATATTACTTATCTAAAAATAGTTAATATTAATATTACTCATTTAAAAATTGATTATATTAATATTATTTATTTAAAAATTAATACACTTATTTAAAATTTATAAATATTAATACTATTTATTTAGAATTATTAATATTAATATTATTTATCTAAAATTAATATTACTTATTTAAAGAAATTTCTTTAGTCTTAATTTTTTTAAAATTTTAATTAATTATTTAAAAATTATTTAATATTTTATTATTTTTCAATAGATAACTTTGTTTTCAATTTTAATAATAATTAAAATATAATATATTAAAATAATAATTTATATATATTAGATATTTAATATATTATTAAATCAAAATACTAAAATAAATTTTAATATTTTTATAAAAATATAATTTATAAAAATCTTTAAATTAATATAACTTTATTTTTAGATTAGAATTATTATAATTTATTTATTATTATTATTATTAAACTTATATAATTATTATAAATATTTATTTATTATTTATTAAATTTAAATTTATTATTTTTATAAAAAAATTTAATTAAGAAATTTATAAAATACTTTTTTATATATAAATTTTTAAATATTAAATAAAAAAATAATAAAATTATAATATAATAATAATATTATTAACAAGTTAAATTAATAATAAAAATATTATTATATTTTTAAATTATAATAAAAATTTAATTTTTTGTTATATAAAATAAAGATAAATTTTTTATTATAACTTTTTATACTAAATATTATATTTAATATATTATAATAATTCTTTTAAATATTAATAAATCAAAATATATAATAGATATAATTTTAGTTTTATAATAATCTATTAATAATTATATAATAAATCTTAAATTAAGTTTATAAATTACTAAATTATACTATTTTACTATATATTATATTATATTAAGAATACTATATTTTTTAATTTTTTATTACTTAATTATTAATTAATTTTTATATAAAATTCTTTTTATTTTTATTTATATTTTTAATTAGTTAATTATTATTTTTATTATTATTATTTATTTTTATATTTATATTAATATAATGATGATCAAAAGTAATAACTCAAAGGCTAAATTTATTAATAAAATATAGTGAAAATTAAAATTTTCTCTTTATATTAAAATTTATAATTTTATTAAAAAATAATTTTTATTTTTATATTAAAATAAAG